AGACCACAGTTATATATATATATATATAGCCGAGTAAAGATTACGTTTAAAGCATTCAGTCCGTTACGATATCAGGTTTCCAGGCCTGAACACAGCGGTGGTCGATTAGTTAATTTTAAACTCCTGCTCTGCTCTTTATTTTGGCATGGAACCGAAACGCACAGAATTGCGCAACACCTTGTTGAAACAGTAATCACTGAGATTATTATTTTTGTTGGGTCATTAATTTGCACATGTTTCGTTGACTTTTTGTTGTTCTTTAATAAAGTTATGAAGGTTTTGATAAGGAGTCAGATGAGGACGTGCTGGTCTCAGCGTCCTGGCGGCGTTCAGTTTGTCACCTAATGCCGAGATCGACTCAAAACCTTCCACGATCGACGCGTCGCAGCCCTGCTCTAACAAAGAACAGTTCAGAAACAATATGAAATGGGGTGGGGGAGCTATTTATTAACTGATTAAGTCGTGTTTTGGATTGTTCTTGAAAAACTAATCAGTCACAGGTGATTAGTGGGCGCACTCACGGCTGCACAGTGAACCCACTGTTTTTTTTACAGCAGACAGCCGCTCCACTCTCTTGCAGGTACTGCGTACCCCCGCGAAATCTTTTAGGCCGTACCCCCCTACTTTCACCACTGTGTATGCCTTAGAAAATCATTAGGGATTTGGCAGTGTTCCCACCCACCGTAAATTACACCACCCACAGGGATTGTAGGCCACAAATGTTTACAGCTTCAAGAAGCTGACTGATCACGTGTGTTGTGAACAACCACATTGTTGAAACATTCAGTGGAAGGAAAAGGTGCAGGGATTAACACAGCCTTGGTAGGATTGTGAAAAAGGAGAACATGACGGGAATGTTGTTTATTGATCCGACGTCCTCTTTTCAGACGTAAGTATATATTTAGTTTCTTTCTAATCAAAGAAACAAAAAAAATTGGCTTTATTTATATGCGTTTGTTTTCCGTTTCATGTTGTCGTCATGCTCTTGCTTATTTGTAGTGTTTACTTCAGAGATAGTCATGGTCACCAGTTTCATCATGTGTTATAATAGGAATTAGAAGCTGAAATATTTGCCACTCCTACAACGTGGTTAAAATAAACTCTCCTGTCTTGATCATCTTTCAGGGCAGAAATATTTATGGCAAAGCCAGAACACAGGACCTTCTGGTGGAGATTCTGACCTCCACCAGTAAACACAAGCCTTTAATCATCCGTCGAAGATGTCGCCACAGAAGAAACTCCTCGTCCCAGTGAGCAGCAGGCGGAAAGCCATGGACGACTTCTTCCCCTTTAACTCGCTGCCGGTGGAGTGCCAGCTGCACGTCTTGTCCTTCCTGAACGAGGTGGACAAATGCAGCTGCGCGCTGGTTTGCCTGAGCTGGAGTTGCCTGGTCCGGTCGTGGAAACTGTGGCGGGTTGCAGACTACTCTCGGCGCGGCGCCTTCCATCTGGGCCAGGAGGGGCTGCTTGTTTCCAACCGGGAGTTTGAGCGATGGAAGGCCTGGGTCCACCACTACACCCACCATCTGATCTCCCGGCGGGCCAGCCTGCTCACGCTAAAAGCCAGCTTCGACCTGGGAGACCGCTGCAACAAGTGGAGCGAACTGCTGAGGCACCTGCTGGATAACGTCCACTGCAGAGACCTCAGCCATCTGTACCTCAACTGGACCTTTACCCTCTTTGAGCCACTGGACCTAAGGGTGCACTCCAGCTCCAGTTCACACCAGGACAGCATAACCAAGATGGACCAGGTAATTAACAGTATTATTCTTCAGTGGCTAACCGCAGGATAGTCGTGCTTTCTATGGGAGATACAGCTATAAGAAGATGACACAGCTAAAGTAGAACTGATCGTTATCAATAACTGTATGTCAAGATAGACATGTGATCAATATCAATACATAATACATCTGATAGAATAGTCAATATTCAATATGCAGAATATTCACTGAACTCCGATCCAGAACCGCACAGCATTCTGGGACATGTAGGTAGAGAAAATACTTTTATCTGGTCAACCTCTCACAGCGAGCTAAGCAAGATTGGTGGCAACAACTAGCTCACTCTTTAGTCACCTAGCAACAGCTTGTTGAGTAACTTGTGCAGCAGCAGTTTCAGGTTTCACCACCATGCCAGTTTTCAACTTGAAAACTAGATAACACGTGAAGGGTTATTCCACCAGTTTGGCAGTATTTCAGACATTCAAAACAAAAAAACCTATCAATCATTATCAATATCCTCAATTATTGACATTGACTGATGAGGAATGCTTATATTTTGATACGTTTTTCAGCCATATTGTCCAGCCCTAGGAGTGGAGTGGCTCCATCAGGTGATCCGTCAAAGAAGACAGACATAATTAAACTTAGGACCAGTGGACCAGGGGTACTGTCTTCATAAAAGGAACAGTTCACAAAGTTAGTTGTTGCAATGCCTCCATCGTTGGGATAAAGATACAGACACAGCTGAACATAAAGGCTCTAGACTAGGTGTACCTTCTATCGAAAGAACCAGGAGAGGCTAGAAAGATGATGGCATCAAATAATCCATAAATGGAGAGCAGCAGGAGAAACTGGCACCTGGTAAACAGTGGCTGCTATGTTCTCCAGCAGTCTCAGCTTATAGCAGGAGCTTTCTTCTTTTCTTTGGTTTGGCAGGTGACCAGCTTTCAGGAGCTGCTCGGCAAACTCACCCACAGCTGCCCGCGAATCTCCAAGATGCGTTTACATTTCGACTGGTCGGATCTGTCTGTGTCCCTGCTCACCCGGTTCCAGCAGCTACGGACCCTCGAGCTCAAGTACTTCTGGGTCTTCAAACTGGTGACCCCCTCCACGCTCCAGACGCTTACCAAATCCCTGCCCAACCTAAAGTCGTTGACTTTGCACATCCTGGTGCCGCTGAGGAACCTGGGGATCTCATACTCGTTGGAGTCCGAGTCTCTGGAGTTCCTGGACGTCTCGCCCAGCCGCGGTTTGGTCTTCTCCTGCCTGAAGCTGCCGGCCCTGAGAGAACTCCGAGCTAAGAAGATAGTGCGAGGTATCACGCTGGATCGTAGGACAAGGCTCCGGATCCAGAGCAGGTGGCCTTGTCTGTACCATGTCCTCCAGCAGGGGACGCCAAAGCTTCAGGCCCTGAACAACGAGAGGCTCCTTCCTACGTGGAGGGAGACGAGCTACGGGGAGCTGACCGCCATCCTGGAACAGTCCTGCTACTGTGTGCAGCATCTAGACAGCTGGCTGTGGTAGTCAGCTGACTGAAGATCCGTCTGTGTATTGTAAATTCCAGCCAAAGTAAAACTCTGCCTTTACTCCCCACATTGTTGCTCTTATTCCAACAAACCGATTCTGCCACAGGACACAGAAGTCGTTCGTTGCTGCAGATGAAAAATAGGATGTGACCGCAGGATCCTCCCAGATCCTAAACTGGAATCTGCTCTTTGTGTAAAAAAAAACACGCAGGATTGAGGCAATGATGCTCAGCGAGTTTGTAATCATTTGTTCGATAATCTGCAAAAGGCAACGGTGCTTCTTCCTGATCGGGCTCTGCCGCTGCACTGGCTTGGAAACGAGCAGAGCCACAAGTACGTGGATCAGGACTGAATGAAGAATAATGTCGCCATTATTTAGCTGGAAACTTTTTAAAACCTGTTGTTGTCAAGGAAAAGAACAGTGAAGAATAAAGGCAAAATATTTTCAGGATTTTTTTTTTTTTCATCCAAGATTAAACTTTGTGCATTAATGCATGAAGTTTGAATTCAGCTGAATATTTATGAAAATATGGTAAAGATGATAATCATCAGTAATAATATGATTGTCTTAGTTATTTAGGTTGTAATCTCCACTGCTGTGATGGTGTTTCCGTAGGATTACAGTCAGAAATTAAGGGGGAAAATATCTAAATTTTATAATAAATGTTATTTTAACATTTTTTTTTGCAGTCAAAAAAGTTTCAGTCCCAATTTTTAACTCCTAAGGAAGCTTAAAAACAGAAAATGGAGCATGGACCTTTTTTGTTTCCAAACTTTTGTTTTATTCCGTTAATACTAAAAAAACAACTGTTTTTAAATTATCTGTGATTTTTATACGTATCTATATTTAGATGGCATCCTTTGTAACTGAACTGGTCTTAAATATCCTTGCTTCATTCGCATTCTTTTATATTCCACTGTAGAAACACAAACCACCTTGAAAACTATATAAAAATACAATACAATAATACAAGCATAAAGTTCCGTAAACATAATATAATCCTGTGCTCTTTTTCGCAGTATCATAGCACACAAAGCTTAACTTTATATATACTAACGTTACTGTGTTTGCTAGTAAAAACCAGTTGCAGAATGTTTCTGTTTGGCTTATTTTACTTGCAGTCCTGCTTCAGGAGCACTGTTATGTGTTTTAAGCTAATTATTTAAACTCGACAAACCCATAAACCTTCTAGGAAACATGTTACAAACATTTGACGTACCTGAACATAGGATAGTTGTCAAAAAAAGTAAATGTTTAGACAAGTAGAAAACAGCAACTAGCCTGCTACTGGGTTGCCATGGCAATATGAAACAAACGGCAGGTGAGCGGCCGTTTCATCCTGCACCGCTATGTTAATTTTGATTATTTTTAATTTGCAGAGAAGGTCCTAATAGATTCACTACTTTGAACTAAGAAAGGCTGCTGAGCTGTTCATTTGGCCTCTAGGTTCTTCAAGATCAGGTTTAGATTCCCCCCAAAATGTCCACTTTTAACGTTTAAATTTCTACAATAAAATAAAATAAAGAAAATTTACCACAAATTGTGCTTCATCAAATTGTATTTAGTGTGGTCTTATCCAGTGTTGACATTTTTAGAACAGAACTCATCCCAGTTAGGATAACGTAATATTTCAGGAAGAAAAGCAGATGAATTTAAATATTAAAAAAGGTTGTTTTTTTTTGTTGTTGTTTTTTTTTTATTAAAAACTTAAGTTTTGCTACTTTTTCTTCCAAAAAACAAAATACTTATCTAACAATTCTCCAAAATATTTTGCCTTTCTTCTGCCAGTTTCTCCAGACTAAGCCATCTAAACGTTGAAACATGACATGTCCTGTGCTATAAAATTCATGTTTGATTGGTTAAATGAAATACGGTTATATTTGTCTTCAGAGACGTGATGGAGAAGCATTAGAGAAGTTTGCACGAAAAAAGATGAGGTGAAAGTTAAATATGCAGTAAATATTTAGGACTGAAAATTGCTGTAAGATGCGTTGAAATGAGCTTTTTAACTAAAGCCTCAGAGCAGCTTCAGTCTGAAAATGAGCTGAAACCTGTTTGTGTGTTTTTGCTCCCTGACTCTGCTGCTGAATACTTTAAACTTTTTGCTGTTAAGCTGGTGTAATTCCAATCACAGCCGGCCAGGAATGCAAAATGAGACTTAATTCCAGTGCTGGACCACATTGTTCAAAAATTGCTGGTGCTCCTTTACAGTTTGTTTTGTTTGTGCCGTTCCTCCTCCAGCAAAGGGAGCCAGCAGCGTTTTTAAAGTATTTGTTTTGATGGTGTTTGAGTGGAGAACTCCCGCAGCTCTTGATTTTGCAGACATTTTGCACATTTCTGTTGTCTTCTTGGAAAGTTTCATTCAGGAAGAGGGCGACGCGTCACATTCCAGCTTTTCGAGACTCTTTGCAGAGAAATCCGATCGGTTTGAGCCGCAGTTTTACCCCCGGTCAGCAGATGTCCCCATTTTCAAAGACTTGGTCGTGAAGATTTCTGTGTGTACTGCTGCGTTGTGTAACACAGTGGGCTTTTGGGTATTTAATGTGTGTGAGAGCAGCTTTACGTTTTTCATTTTTGCTCTGTTGTGGTCAGGTTTCTTTCCCAGTTAAGCACACCACTGTCACTTCAAATTTGCAGAATGATATGACTGACGAGCCTTTTTCCATTTCCGAGAATTCATTTGTCCTTCACATGAGCAGGAGGCGCTGACATTTGCACAGATGCTGTAAAATCTGGTCCACTTGTTTTTAAGAATAAAAAGACTGGCCTTTCAGGGTTTTTTTTTTTGTTGTTGTTGTTCTTTATTTGTGCTACTGCAACCACTCCAGGAATAAATGCAGGAAACCTCAAAGTGTTTTCAAAAACTGCGGAAATGTTCTGCTGTCTCTCGAAGGGCCATGTTTTCACACATTGTATACATTGGCAGGGAAAGGTAATTTGCTCCCTTTGTTTTCTTAGATTTCCTTTTTTTTTTTTTACTGTGTTTCTCTCAAATACAGAGTAAACACAAAATGTATTCTTAATGTATTATTCTACTCATTAAGAGAAAAGGGCTATCAAAACCAACTGGCTTATTGTAAAATAAAGTAAAAGTTGATTTCCACCTTGGTAAGTCATTGACCAAGAGTGACAATATTTTTGGAAACTTTAGTTCAATTTCCCCACCTACCGCAGACCTGAGTACCACCAAATGTATAGAATTCAGAAACCTGTGAAACGGGGCACGTCTGACAGCATGAAGTAGGCTAAAAACTCTCCATGAAAACATTCAAAGTAATTTCTAATACGTTTGGACTCCAGGGATCCACGGCAAGAGCCGTAATCCACAAAAGCGGAAAACACAGTTCAGCGGTGAACCATCCCAGATGTGACTGGTCTACCAAAATTACTCTGAAAGTGCAATGACTCCTCATCTGGCAGGCCACAAAAAAATCTCAGAACATCCAAAGCACTGCAGGCCTCATTAAGGTTACTGCTCTTAACAGTAAGAAAGAAACCAAGCTAAAATTCTGCTAAACCAAAACAAACCAAAGGTAAATATCAAACATCTTGATGATCCTGAGACTCTTGGTAAAATATTTTGTGGATTGATGAAGAAAGTGCGCGTGGCAAAAAGAACACCATGTTGACAGTAAACCAATGACGGTGGTCATGTGATGGTCTATCATTTCTGTTCTACCAGAAAATCTCAGTGGAGAATCACAGAGACCAGTCAGCAACCACAAGCTCAACTTCACTTGGGTTCTAGCAGGACAATGATCCAAAGCACCTGAACAAGTCAACCTTTCAATAGTTGTAAACAAAATTAAGGTTATGGAGAGGCCTAGTCATCTAATTGACCTTAACTTTGCAAAGCTTCCATTCTGGCTGAATTAAGATCACTTGAAGGAAGAGTGGACCAGAATCCCTTCACCTGGATGTAAAAGACTTTTTGCAAATGCTTGATGGGAGTGGTTCCTGCCAAAAGTAGGATAAATACTCACTAGGTGTAGAAATTAAGTATTTTTCCTTAAAAAAAAAAAAAATACTTAAAAAACAGACCTGCAAGGCGGACAAACCTTTTTCACAGCACTGTAAAATATTGCCTAAATCAAAAAAACTGAAACACCGTCTAAGCTCACGCTGTGTATGTCCCTACAACTTTTTCTCTGAAATGGGAACATCTGGTCTTCTCACAAACAACCACCCCTTTCTATGTTTTCCTTGTTTGCTGATTTGTAACCCTACGTGAGAAATTCGAGCACAGAGGTGATGGTGGTCGAGCCTCCCTCAGGATGAGCCTTTGCAGCCAGTCCTCTTTTTTTTCCCCCGCTCTACTCCACCTCTTTCATCCAGCCCCCTCAGACATCCTTTCCTCATTTGCGTCTTGTTTGCTGTGAGTTTGTCAATCTCACAGAGCCTTTCTTACGGACGCGTATCTTTGGAAACCTCTGCAGCAAGGACCTGCTTACCTGTGGATGGGAACCCTTGGGGGGGACGCGGGCACGATGATGGCAGGCTGAATACCTGGACTCCTGCTACAATCGGAAGAGGCTCATTTTCTTTCATGTCACGACAGACACTTGGTGATATTTGTTTTTACAGTTTGTGCTGTGTTTATAAATAGGAAAAGCGAGGAAAGTGTGATGGTTTGGAAACTGCAGCCCTCCCTGAGGTTTACCTAACCCTTACATTAGTGGTAGGACCAAGTAAGCGCCTCCAGATGTGTGAGAGAGAGCACTGCCTGACTATCTACAATGAACATTGCCCTCTTCACACTCCAACACTTACTCTTTGCTCCTTTGGCACTGCTCAGGTTAATGCTTAATCCAAGCACAGACCTATAATTTTTAAGGCCAAGCCCTGTTTATGAGGGAAAAGTAAGGTGGATGCCTTCAGATAAGTTGGTTTAGTTCACAGGTAGACACGCTCAGAGATTCAACTTCAGCTGCGACGCAAAGGACGCCTCACGGGTGGCCAGAGGAAGCTGCCACAATGCCACAAAAATCCACCTTATCCAAAGCTTTGGCCGTCGCCTTCGCTGTGCTGACGGTTTCTGCCATCGGTGGGATGATCTCCATGATGATTGTTTTCGAGATACAGACTAATAACCTAACCATGACTGAACTCCCGACCGTCCCGTCCACAACCCTGGCCCCGCCGCCGGTCATGCGGCTGCCGAGGTCCCTGATTCCCGAAAGATACGAGATCTTCCTCCATCCTCAGTTCTACAGTAGGATTGTGGAAGAGGTGAACGTCACGACCCCAAACCAGACGCTGTTCTTCAATGGGAACTCGACCGTGTACTTCCGCTGTCACCAAGCAACGAAGCACATCTTCCTCCACAGCTTCGAGCTGAGCGTGTCGCCTCCAGAGGTGATAGACCGCGACAATAACAAGAAATTAAGCGTCCTCTCACACCAACAACACGATGATGAAAGTGACTTCTTGGAGATTGAGATGGAGGAAAACTTAAAGACAGACGGGAATTACAGTTTGTTTCTGTCTTTTGAGGGAGAAATATCTGAATATCTTCAAGCACTGTATGTGAGCAAATATACTGAAACCGACCTTGACTTTGTAAATGACACAATACAGGAAAGGTAAGTGATTTTTTATTTTTAAACTATAATGCTCTTTTAAACTCAGCTGTTACAGATAAAGTACAAAGATGATGTATGGAACAAAGAAATGTTTTGCTATTTGGAGAAACAATATGTTTTTTAAAAAATACTTCAATATATTAAAAAAGAATCCAGTTTCATCCTAAGGAAAATATTTCCATGTGGGGTATTAGGCTTTCATACCATTAAGAAAAGAAACTGAGAGATTTAAAACTTAAAAGATTTTAAACCTGTGTGACACTCTAAAAAAAATTTCATCAATGGAAAGATTTTTTTTTCTTAAAAAAGTAAATATTCTGAACCTCCTTCATGTTTTTCAAGTTCACAAACTATCTTTGCTTTCTTAAAGTAAGTAGTGATAACAAAGTCTTGCACTGTTTGGTCTGATTTGATTTCTAGACTTCATGAGATAGTAAATAAATATCCCCATATTTGACATTTGATATATTATGTTTTTAAAGTATAAAATGCATCCCTGTTTGGCTTTAATATTATTCTTTTGATTTTACTACAATGTCTTTTTCATAGATTCCTTGTAGCCACAAATTTGGAGCCAACAAGTGCAAGGAGATTGTTTCCATGTTTCGACGAGCCCGACATGAAGGCTGTTTTTCAGCTGACGGTAATCCATAGACGGGGTACAGAGGCTTTGTCAAACACACTGAAACAAAGTAAGTAAATAAGTACAATGAGCAAAGAAGGTATACTAATTCTTGGATCTAATGCAGTGACTCATGCTGTTGTGAATTATCTTCTTCTTGCAGGATCCTCTAGTATAGATGAAGAGTGGAAATACACACAGTTTTTTCCTACGCCAAAGATGTCGAGTTACTTACTTGCCCTCACAATCTCAGAGTTCAAGTTCACTACATCCCCAGAAAACCGTGTGACTATTAAAGTAAGTAAGTCTAAGAAATAGCTTGTTGTTCAGAATCTGGGTTTATAAATTAATTGTTAAACAATAATTCTCTTTATTAATTAGTTAGAAACTTCAGTCATATTTGTAGCCAACAGATAGTAAGCCTATTATTTTGACCAGAGCTGAAATGTTGAAAGCAGGAAAAACGGAAAGGAGAATAGTTGAGCAAGTTTCTGGTGGTTAGATGGGTCTGAGTATCTCTAAAGCTGCAGCTCTTCTGAGTTTTTCTCAGTTTGCAGGTATGAAAATTGATCCAGCTAAGAATTGGCAACAGAGACATGATCTCTCGGGGCTGTTTTGACATTAGATGAGGGTCTAACCCAGGATTAGATCTGTGGTCATGATATTATACCTGGTTTACTTTGTACAATCTTCTTTCTCTTTCTCAAGTTTTGAAGAAAAATCAAAATAACATTTTTGTGTTTTGTTTATGCAGACCTATGCCCGTCCCGAAGCCATTGACGCCGGACACACGCGGTATGCCGCCGAAATAACTGCAGAGATCCTCAAGTTCTACGAAGAGCATTTTGACCTGCAGTACGGGATGGAAGACCTCGGTAAAACTACGATTTTAAAACTTGATTGACAGACTAAGGCAAAATGTGACAAATTTGTTTTATTTCTTTGATTGATAACATTTTTTTTTTAATCTTTAACCACTTTCCCTAAAACCACAATGAATGCCACTATATAATTTAACAATCTGTCAAAGCAGGCTCATACAGGTTGTGTAACTTATAATTTGCCCATATTTGTATGTGTCCTTAAGCTCAAATTGCTCTACCGGACTTGGAACCGTTAGCCATGGAAAACTGGGGACTTATCACTTACCAGGAAGGAGCCTTGCTCTATGAGGAAGGAGTGTCCTCATGGCTGCACAAGGAAGTAATCACCACTGTCATTGCTCATGAGTTGGCACACCAGGTAAGGGGGAAGAAAATTGTGTGTGTTTCCTGGAATGACACACACACACATTAAAAAATGTTTAATACCTCCTGGACGTATTTACTGCCATGAAAAGTTGCATCTTCTGTAGGTACAGTAGAGTTTTGCGGCAGATTGACTGCTGAATTTTTGTTTTGTCAACAGTGGTTTGGAAATCAAGTGACGATGAAATGGTGGAATGAAATTTGGCTGAATGAAGGGTTCGCCACCTACATGTCCTACCTCGCAGTGGACCACGCTGAGCCGAAATTTCAAATAGTAAGTTCAGGCTGGCCGTCCCCTCATCCACTGCTAGTTGCTCTCAAAAGCAGCAGTGCCAGGAGTTTTTTTTTTTTTTTTTACCAAACTACCTCAATTCTTATGAAAACCACCAGACCTCAATTTTCTTAGGCTTTTATCATCACCCCAGACATGTAATCTGATGATCTTTGGTTTGAAGCAGCTGTCATTTCTCAACTCTTTCATCCAAAAGACTCCTTCATCTCTGACTGACTGACTGATAAGAAGTCAAAGTATTTGACCTTTACTTGGGTCTTTAGCACTTCAAACATCTTTAAAACTTTAAAGGTTGGTTAAATCTTTCAACTTCTCCCCTGAAGCCTTTAGAATATAATGAACCACAGGTTGGATAAAGATATGTGTCATTTCTATTTTTTGACACTATAGGACCTAAGTAGACATAGATATCTTTTATTAATCTGCATTTTTGACTGATCTCTCCTTTAATGTTTGAAGACTGCTAAAGTGAAGAATGTATATCTTTGATGACATAGGGTGAGATCAAATCTATTTTGTATGTCAAAATTTGACCAAATTCTGTCATTGCTTCAGCAAACTTTTGCCTCAATAATCTACTTCCACTTTGTACACTTTTCATCCATCCATCCATTTTCTATACACCCTTGTCCCTTAGTGGGGTTGGGAGGGGTGCTGGTGCCCATCTCCAGCTAACGTTCTGGGCAAGAGGCGGGGTCACCCTGGACAGGTTGCCAGTCTGTCGCAGGGCAACACAGAGACAGTCAGGACACACACACGCTCTCACCTAGGGAGAATTTAGAGAAACCAATTAACCTAACAGTCATGTTTTTGGACTGCGGGAGGAAACCGGAGTACCCGGAGAGAACCCATGCATGCACAGGGAGAACATGCAAACTCCATGCAGAAAGATCGAACCCAGAACCTTCTTGCTGCAAGGCAACAGATCTACCAACTGCACCACTGTGCAGCCCGTACACTTTTCAGGTGTCATTAAACAGCCTTTTTGTCTGTTTTTATGTTTATTTTTTTAAAGAAAGAGAAAATGATTATGGATGACCTCCATGCAGCGTTTGAGGAGGATGCTCTGTTGACATCCCATCCTCTCAGCGCTCCACCGAATGACGTCCAGACAACTGGTGAGATCCTCGGGATGTTCGATGCTATAAGCTACAGTAAGGTAAAGTACCACACACATCACACACACATGCTTGCTTGTTTTTAATTTTTTTTTTGGTTGAGCTTTTAAAAAACATGCCTTTTCACATCATTATGTGTTAAATGTACATTTGCGTTTGAAGTGTTTCTCTGGGTTGGGAGTTAAAAGAAAGTTGTTTATTTTGCTCAAACACATTCAGAAAAATAATGAAATTAGACAAACTGAAAAGTCTTGAATTTTTTTTTTTTTTCAAAGGTGTGTCTAATCAGCGTAGCTTCAAGCAAAAAACATCAGAGGATATAAAGGAACAATTTTGTCCGTGTCTTTTGTAACCAGAAATATTTATAAACAGACAAACTTACATTTCTTCTAATAAGGATGAAGTTGTGGTAGATTTTGTTCAGTTAGCTGACCTGCCTGCAGGGCTTAGCAACAGGTGGGGGAGGAGAAGTGCTGCTAACTCTAAACACAGGGAAAACTCCAGGGACATCGTCACCCTCCTATTAAGTACTTTAATTCACCAGTATGGTGAAGTAACATTTTAGGCAGTTTTGAAATCATACCTTTTAAAGCCTTGGTGTACGCTGATGCCTCTAACCAGTCCATGACTAAACAGATGTACTTATTTCATAGGGATGAAAATCTTTAGTTTTATGTTTTTAAAGTGTCACCAAATTCAAAAATATTAAAAACATGCACAATATAGACAATTTTTAGCAGAAAAGATGGCAAAAGAAAAAAAAAAGTTTTTATTTGGATCCAATTGGTTACACCTTTTACTTTGTAAGAACTTGTAATGGCACTGGACCTAAATTGCTGGTGCAAATTAGATGAGTTTGATAGTGTGGTGAAGAAGTTTTGGAAAATATCAGTTTAATTTGTCTTTAATGTTAATTTGTCCTTTTCTGTTTTGCTGAGGATCAAATGTTTCCTTGCTAATATTTCTTGGAAAGGTCTCTATCAGATTTCTCTTGTTTTTTTCTTCTGAAAGCTTGTGTTGTGTTTATAAGAAGCCCTGGTTTCATGTGCTCTGCAGGGGGCCATGGTGCTGAGAATGCTGGCGGAGTATGTGAAAGACAAAGCTTTTGACGACGGCATCAGAGTAAGGCACCCATGTCAAACACATGAAAATGATGCTGCAATTCTTACAAATGCCTTGTCCTGTTAAATAATATTCATTTGATTGATGCTAAACAAGCTATGGAAGAAGGATAACTCACAATTGTTGATAAATAGCTACAAGAAGAAATTTCTTCATTTTTAAACATCCACCATTTTATTTCTATTTGTGGGTTTTGAAATAAATAATAATTTAAAAAAATGCAAAAAACAATACATTTATTTCTGTGGCGTGATTTTTACATCAACTTGTGGAAGTTGATGTAAAAATAAAAGCACATAGCTTCCAACTTAATGTCAAGAAGAATGGATCCAAGTAAATTTAGTACTAGTACTCTTGCTGTCATTTTCAACACAACACATGTTCTTCATTGTTTTTATCCCAAGTTAACAGAAGCCATTGTGGAAGTCTGAAAAGCAACAGGCTGCAGACGTCAGGTTCAGAGTCTTGCACCTATTCTCTGGAACTCAAAGGTGGCCTCTGATCCCTTCATCATAACTTTGTCTATTTGGAGTTAAACCCAGACAGCCTCTGGTCCAAGCACAAACAGTATCCAGACATTTCCAGTTCACCATACTCAGATGAATCATACCAAGGCCAGAAGGAAACCAGAGCAGAGCAGATTTCTAATTTGATGAGTTGGCCGAGTGTCATAATATCACCAACTATCGAAATAGTGTTTCTGAATTGTCTGCTTGTGCAAGCAGGCTTGCCAAGTGTAAGACGGGATTTGAAGGTTCTCTGATTCAGTTTGGTGTCCAATATTGCCAGCGTTGTGTAGACCGACTTTCTCAAAATGACCAATTTCAACTGTAAATGTATGCTGTGCAGAGAAACAGTAAGGTTCAAGTCAGATTTAATACTCTGATTTAGACAGAACCGCAGAAGCGTAGAGCTTTATTTCAATGTTAACTTTTGTTTTTTCCTGCTTTTTAGGAGTACCTCAAAACGCACAGAGGAGGAAATGCAGACCAAGAAGACCTGTGGGTCTTCATTCAAAACGTAAAAAAAAAAAAAAAAAAAGTCTTGTGGTTTCAAACAGCGATTGCATCAAGTATGAACATCTGAACTCAAACGTATGGCTACGTACAACTGGCTTGTGATCATCTTTGCAGGCCCGTAATAAAGAATCCAAGCCCACAGTTCAAGAATTCATGGAAAATTGGACCACTCAAATCGGCTATCCTGTCGTCACCATCAACACCATCAGCGGATCGATCAACCAGAAGCACTTCCTCTACAACAGCTCTGCTGGATCCAAGTTTGGGCTTTTTTTTTTTTTTTTAAATGGAAAACATGGTGACAGTGAAGCCAAAGTCCAGTCTAAATGAACAGCAATAATCAGAGCTGTTAAATGACTTAATCTTTAAAAGTAGTAAAGCTTTCTGTTATCTCTGCATATTTTATGCATATTTGACGGTTGTTGGTTTAGTCATAATTTTGAAAGTCATCATTTGTACCTAATATTTTCATGTAATATTAAAGTTACATGAAAAAAAATTAGTGTTAATATTAAAGCTATAAAATCTTACCAATGGTCTTAAAACTATGGAGCAACATTAGAAAATTAGTAAGGGATTTTTTTTTTTCTGTTAATGCTGCTTGGGGGCCCTTTGAATGTCACTGGATTGTGACAATTTAAAAAAAAAAGTCAAAACTAATATGTAATTGTATAATTTTGCTTCTTACTTCCAACAGGTCTAAACTCGCTTCATTAGAAGCTATTATGTATTACATGTATGAGCCTGTTTCCATGAAGTAGCAGATGGCTAGCTGAGCTTTTTATCTCACTAGTTGTGATCATGTGTCTTCTGTTAAAAAAAAAAAAAAAAGTTTGGCAAAGTTACAATGTGCTGAATTTCTTTCTGTCAGATTCGTTTTTTAAAACACAGAAGGTCCCTGCAGGCCAATTTGTTCTTTTTTTTTGTCTTCCTGTCAGGCCTTCATGAAATCACTGCGGCTGATTACAGCTGAGTATACCAGAATGTTTCAAGTCAATTTTTTTTTTTTTCTTTAACTGTGTACGTCATGAAACCGCGGTGGAATGATTTAGCAAACTGTGATCTGGTTTTCATTTTTTATTCGACCCCTCCTGCAGCTGCAGCATAAGGTGCCGTCACTGTGCAGCAGACCTGATGTCTTTTTGTTGTTGTCTGCAGACTTGTCTGTGTTCTGTTTTCCTTAAAAAGCCTTAAAAGACTGTATGCTTCTGTTCAGACTTACTTTCTGCACTATAAGCCCTTTGGCCACATTTTAACATATATATTTTTTTTCTTTGTCTAGTCTATTGTGGAAGATTCCCATCACATACACCACAAATATTTCTGAACCGAATGATTTCTGGCTGGGAGAGAGAGAAAGAGGTAATGTGCAGGAACACACAGCTAACACCCCTAACACTCACACAGAAATCACAACATTGTCCAGAATTGTTTTTTTTTTTTTTTTTTTTTCTGTTCTTAACCAATCAGATTAATCCAGACTGAAGAGACATACAAAAAGCTTTACAGCATTTTTGATTATTAGCCCAGCATTCATTTGTGGTAAAAAAGAAATGGACACTTTACTTCCATTCTTGAGCGTTATCAGGGATTAATATAACAAACTGACTTTAAGGGTTCGATTAGGACATAGTTCATCCTTTTAAAGGCTCTATAAGAGAGTTTCTAATTAAAGGAATCTTTAATTGATCACCAACTTCTTTGATTACCTCAAAAAATGTCTGAATTTTGTCCGTTTGCTGCTCCAGAGCATTAAAGTATCTTTTACCACAATGCCAGTGACCCTAGTGAAGCAATTGTTGCTCTCCATGAATCTGTGAAGAGTAGTTAGATCTTTTTCCAAATAATCTAAATTCCAGTGTTGTAAAATGAGAAAGGTCATCCAGAAGTGGAAACAACATAAAATGGTTTGCCAATGATGTCAGGATTGGACATCCCAGAAACAAAAGTCACACCATGCAATGCTACAAAAAAACTGCAAAGTAATCCAATATCTCAATTAATTAGACTCAAAAACATAAGTGCATAAGTTCTCCAAGTTGATATGCAATAAGATGATCAACAAATAAATGGACAAACCTCCGTGACATTTATATTTCATGACTAAAGATAAGGGGAGAACAAAGAGGAAAAAAAATTTTATTTTACTCTAGATATAGATATAGCAATCTTAGATATAATCTTAGCTTTATATCTTAGATATAAACCAAAAATCATCTCTTGAAAAGACATCTGCTTTGGGTTTGGTGTTTTGTTTGCATGCAGGGCTGTTTGGGGGATTGTCTTTGTGCCCAAAGGCCTGAATTGTTATAATTTGTCCTGGGAAACAGAACTGCTCTGGACTTATTTGGTGTTCTTTTCCAAAATCTACAGTTTTGTGTTGAGTTTTAAAATGTGCTCTCCAAACATTTTTCTCGGAACAGACGGGATGGATGAGTTAATTTCAAAGAAAGGAGAGTGGATCCTGGTTAACATCAACACCACTGGATACTACAGAGTCAACTACAATGCAGAGAACTGGGATCGCCTGCTGTGGCAGCTGGAAACAAATCCATCTGTGAGTTTAGCAGCTGAACTAAATGCTTTCCAGATTATTCTCACTAAAACATTTTACCAGACAAGGACAACACTGCACGCTTGTCCTTTAAAAGGACGCGATGATGAGCTTTGGATTCATGATCAAATCCCTCAAGTGAACAGATAGAAACGAGGAATGACCCAGGCAGAATCTGAATTAAGTTGATTAGCAACTGTAAAAGCATCTGAATACTAAAGATTTTTCAATGTCTGTACTTTCTACACACCTACAAAAAAAAAAAAGAAAAAGAAGTAAAAGCTTTGTTCTTTAAAGGTGGAACACAAGACTGATTTAGGTCTGGGGAGCTACATACTCCCAAAAAATGTCCAGGCCTCATTCAAAACTTTTTCTACAACTGTTGTTAATCCTGAACAGATGATGTCCAACACAGCCAACTTACACACACACACACACACGCACACACACACACGCACACACACACAAACAGCAAACCGTCAGCCAACGCTTTCAGACTTACGAAACCACAGGATCGTACGCCGGTCTGAATCTCGCCCCTGTATCACCAGTCGTATGAGCACTTTGTTAATTGGAGCATTTTTTTTATGCTGCCAGGTTAAAGTCCTTATTTGGAAAGTCAAAGTAAGAAAAATAATGTTTTACCAAATGCAAATCTTTTATCTTAATTGCGGTCCACCCTGTCAGAGAAGAGACTGGCTTAAGAAGTTTAGAAGGTGTGTAGAACGTAAATGATGGACAAGAAATGACCCGTCATTTCTGTAAAGAGAACACTAAGAAACAATTAGACGAGAATAAACAAAATCCTCTTTCAACATGACTCCACATTGGTGGACAGGGCAAGATCCATAAATGGGAGAACTTAACAAGGGGGAAATAATTGCTCGGTTTCCTGGAATGTGCCTGAGGGACATAAAGTAAGACTAAAACACTCACAGTTTTTTTTAAATGTTTTCAAAAAAATTCAGATTTTTCCATTTGAATTACAAACCGTGCCTGGGGATTATTCTTGGGGTTCATATTTAAAATATGTTTTTGGGATCCAGTTGGGTGCTTCGTTAAAACACTGAATTCTCTCATTTGCAGCGCATCCCTCTGATGAACCGAGCGCAGCTGGTTGACGATGCCTTCAACTTGGCTAGGTACTGAAATCCTTAAATCATTTTTCACCAATACTGACAGGAAAAAGTGACACAGGGATTAAAGGATATAACTTCAGAAGTGAAAATATTGGATTCGATTTGACCCTGGTTTGTTTAAAGAGGAACTGGTTCCAGTTCAAAGCAACACCGAATGAGGAAATGGGTGAATGATAATGTCCCTCTGAAAGATTTTGCAACCTGCTTTGATCTGTTGATATACTTTTGTAAAAATGTGTCTTAACTGATTTGTTCCCAAACATATTTGACTTGAACGATGATTTGTAGGTTGAGCAACAACGCACCCATTTAAAACAAATCTCCAGCTTAATGAAACGACGATTATTCTTCAGCAGTCTCTGCAAACCGTCTCTACCGTCCTCTATTCTTCTCAGGGCAAAGCAGGTCGACGTGACTCTGGCTCTGAAGTCGACCCGTTTCCTCCGTAGCGAGACGGCTTACCTCCCCTGGGAATCAGCCATCAGGAATCTGGAGTACTTCATCCTGATGTTTGATCGTTCCGAGGTGTACGGCCCCATGCAGGCAAGCGCCAATAAAATGCTGTTGCTTAATATAATAAAGCAAGTAGAACATTCTCTTGTTTTATTATATGGGGTTATCTTACAACCAGGTTCAGTGGATATAAAACCATTCTTACTAGTTTACTCTTAAAGTTGATCAGATGTTAGAAAAGCATGACCTGGAAAGTCTGCTGTAAATTTCGCTCTCTCTCTCTGCAGCTTTATCTTCGACATCAAGTAGAGGAGCTTTATAACTTCTTCAAAAACCAAACAGACGACTCGACCGTCCCCGATGATCACTCATTACAGTAAGCAAAAATCTACTTCACTCCACCTGGAGCTGCTAAACTAACAGGTTAAAGTGGAAGAGTTCAGGTTAATCATAACCAGATTTGCTTGTTTGAGGTCTATAAAATTCACAGCCAGACACTTTTTTATGCTGAGTACTTTGGTACACAGGGCACTGGCATCCATCTTGACAGCAGAAGCATGCAAATTATATATTGGTCAGGGATTTCATTTCCTGCTTTTTTTTTTTTTTTCCTTTTGACACACTTTTCGTATGAATGTTACTAATTTTACCCAAACTAGTTCTGAGGAGAAAAGGTTTGACGATGTTGCAAACATGAACTTGAATTAGTCATTTAGAAAGACAAAAATACATCATTGAAATGCGCAGTTTATTTAAAGTTGACTCTGAAAAGCGTTTAAATGTGTTTGTGACTTTCAACCGTTGGGTTCTGTCTGTGATGTTATTTAAAGGCACAACCAGATCACTGCCATCGAGGTGGCCTGCTCCAATGGACTCCCAGATTGTGTGGAGATGGCTACCGAGAAGTTTGCTGAGTGGATGGACAGAAACGACACCAACACGTATGGTTTGAGATGAATATAACTTCTCTGTTTTCTGAAGAGCCATAATTTGACGGTAACTGTAATAGCATCCCTTGCATTCTGTAGCTTTGCTCTCTCCAGCAGTGATTTAGAGAAGGTAGGTGCTGTCTGCTCACTTTTTGTGTCTTTTGGTGTCGCGGCATCGTGGTTTATTCTAAAGCTGCACCACTCTGGATTTTAAAAATGATTGCTTTATTACAAAATTTGAAAGTATCTGCTAAAATTTAACCAACAAGGAACTCCGATGTTTGTTAGTTTTGTTGCTGTAATTTTCTCCAGTCAGTTTTCTGAAATGTCTGCAGGTGCAGCTTTAACTATCATTGCATGTGTTGCATATGCCGGCTTAAAATGTGGTTGTGTATCAGTCCACAATTGCATGTAATTATAAGCCATTTCAAGCAGTTGTGGGGAGAAGCTCATACACAATTGCGTGTAATGTTAGTTTGTCAGTAGTAGCCCGTAACTGCTTGTTAGTGCATGTGATGTTTGTGTGATGTACTGGGAAAAAAAACAAAACAAAATGAATCTCTTCTACATTTTCAGTCTAGAATATTTGCTATTCTCATCTGATTTTCCTTGATGTAGAAGCATTTGGTATTTTATCTGAAGGCTTACCCCCGTTTACGTCCAAGTAATGATTAAATTATTGTCTTAAAACATAAAACAACCCAACAATGTAAATCAGAACAGCTGGCGTATTGAGTGTCCTCTTCCATAGGAGTTCAAAGGACATGATTATGTGAACAACCAAGAAATTTGACTTCTCTTTTCAAGTGTCTTTACGGAGGACAGATATAGAGCATAAACATATAAACTTTAGAGGAAATAAAATAATAAAGAAAAAATATGTGCATGTATTTTCAGCCATTTTAATAAGAAAAAAAGAAGAAGTGTTGTGATGGGAAGTTTGACGTCATATGAAAACACAGCAAACAAGACGACCTTTATTTTTTCCACGTCACCTCCAGAGCTAACTCTGGTGTGTTTATCTGTCTCTGCTGTTTACTGAAGAAGTTTCTGACAGTCAGAAAATCTGTGAGGTTTGCTGGAAGCTCAGTGACGAGGCAAATCCCTAATCAGTAAGACAAGCCCGTAGCATCTCCAGTGATCACAGTTAGTCACACACACTGGTCAGTAACAAATGTGCGTGACTAATTTAACGACTTTCAGATGAGAAACTCAGCAGTTTACTACTGCAGTTTCTATACGTGCAGCAGCCATGTTGGATTTTAGGGCAGATTATTGAGGGACTTTGCAACATTTCAAGCCAGGATGTGTAACTCAGGAGAAAAAGTTAAATTCTTGAAAAACCTGATTGAGATCAGATCGAATACACTTAAAGAAACATTAAATCACAATCCAGAGTTACTTTATTTTAAGACTCGGTCTGTAAGCGCTTGAATAGATGGCAGAGCATTCTTCACAACATTATTGTTGTAGAAAAAAAATATCCCGCGGGCCTGTGGACGAGCTTCTCGAGAGCAAACAGTCTGAGTCGACAGTTCTGCATAAACAATGCATTTTCAATCAGCTGATTAAGGCATTTTTCTGTTTGTTATTCAGCATTCATACCAATTTACGGTCTGTAATCTACTGCCAAGCTGTGGCCGCTGGTGATAGGGAAGAGTGGGAGTTTGCCTGGGAGAAATTTCTGAGCTCCACTGACACCTCAGAGAAAGACCAGCTCAGAAAAGCTCTGTCCTGCACCAAGAAGACTTGGCTCCTCAACAGGTGATGAGAATAAATAAAATAAAATAAAAAAACACTTTCATAACAGACACGCCTGTGATAAGGTGAATTACAGTAATGCCAAGTGTTGTGAAGCAGACACTGAATCAGAACCTTCCTTATCTTACAGATACCTGTCGTACACTTTGGACCCAGATAAGATACGGCTGATGGATGTCACTTCCACTGTTAACCACATAGCGCAAAACGCCGCGGGCCAAGCGCTGGCTTGGAACTTCATCAGAGCCCACTGGGATTACGTCAGTCAGGGGTAGGTCCGATGTTTGGGTCAGAAGTTCCTCTGAAATACGTAATTTCCTCAGAGGGTGGAGAGGAAGGAGCTGTGTAATTCAAACTACATTTAAAGGAGACTCATTTAATTATTGAATTGAATCAAATTATGTTATTCCCAAAAACGTACACCAAAGCTTCCAGCTGGCCTTTACATAACAAACACTGATTATTGTCTAATTGTTTTGGGCAACACTGTTGTCCTCTGTCACTTTTTAAAATATTTTCTTTAGAGGGCTTTAAACGTATTTGTGATTTTGAGCTGTAACCATGGGGAGGAAAAAACAGTCAAAGTTCAGGAATAGAAATCAAACTTGGACAAGAAAAACTGGAACTTATCTTTTTGAAGCAGCAAATGGTTTCACTGTGTTAAGAGTATCGATGGATCCTGGGTTTTGTCTGTGGGAAAATTAATATTTGGCACTACTAAGAATTACAAATTTGTCAATAGATGTTTAGCAGTACGGCTATTATGTTTTAAAAATATCTAATGGTGAAAAGTAGAGTACGGGGTAAACACTGTGTATTGACCACACTGATAAAGAAAACGCCATTAAACAGCATATATATGGTCAACACTGCATTTTTTAGCTACAAATAAACATAAAGTTTTGCAGGACCACCAACCAGCTGAGTGGCTGGTCCCCAAGCGTTCCTCTGTCAATGTTTATCTTGGTTCTCAGCTCCACTTCAGGACAGGAGCTGAGCCAAGAAGACATCGGTTACCGTTCCTTCAACTCGCCCAGGGAGGCGTTGTTTACAGAGGCTTCGTGACAATTTAATCGCCCGTGTTAAAGCGAAGTCATAAAAATTAGCGTTTCATACGGTGGCTTACAGTAAACCTGCCCTGTGTCGTCAAGGACAAAGGTCTTGAAATTTAATCAGTGCTTATCAAAAGCTCCTCACCATAAAGTCTCCACTGTTTACGCTGTAACCAGGAAGTCAACAGATTTTGTATCTAAGTATTTATATAGGCACAGGATCCAAGATTTTATTGAATAACCAGTAGTTGTTGATTATCTAAACTTCAGGGGTGTCAAACTCATTTTCGTTTTGGGCCAAATCAAGATGATGAATGCTCTTAAAGGGCCGGTTGTGCCAGGATGTATTGACAAAACCCACAACCTGTTAAAAGTCAATGAATTCTTAAAATGAAATAATGTAAAACATCTTTTCAGTCCCTCCAGGATTTCAAGATTGGTTTGTGATTTAATCAAAGTGTTTTTGTGGTACCATTTTGGAAATATTTGTGATAATTACGGTCATTTATGACAGTAAGTGTAACTTTTTATTACTCACTGTACAGATCATGGACTGTAATCTGACATCAATTAAGGCCGAGGCAGCTGTTTCGTACAAGCAAAGACGTTTTCCACAACTTTTGAAAAAAACTCCCAGTTATGTATCAGCGCAAAAAAGTATGGGGATTTGTTGATTTTGTGTGAATATGCAATAATTCGTAAGAAACTGGAGGGACTGAATGATATAATTTGTCAGTAAAAATTGCATTGATTTGATTGATAACATGATATTTAAGCACACTTAGTATTTAGTCTAGAATTTAGCAGGCCACATAAAAAGCCGGATTTGGCTCACTTGAGTTTGAAGCATGTGAACTAAAGTAAATTAAAAAGCAGATATACTCCACCCTCTACTCTGCTTGATTTACTGGTTTCTTCAGCTTCTTCACTTGTTTTTTTTTTAAATGCTGTTGCTGCTGTTTTTCAGGGATGCTGCTTCCCTGGTTATGGGTGTGACCAGAAGGTTCTCCACACCTTTTGAGCTGCAGGAGGTAATTAACTCACATTTTATCTGCAAATGTTGAATAAATGCCACACCTCGAACCAGGTTTTATTCTGATTATCTGCTTTTGCGCTTGCATGAGTAAACCAAAGCGCCCTGACACCTAATCGATCACAAATCTGTCCCATCATGACCGGTCCGGTTTAAGATAAAGTTTGGTATTTATTTATTCATTTTGTTGAGTCTTGAGTTCTGAGCCTGAATTTAATGAGTTATCAGGTTTATTTGTGTTTATCCAGATGTTTCCTCATATTACTTAATCAGCTGAATGTGTCAAAGGTCACTTATCAGAAATGTTATATAAACTATGATGACAATGTGAGTCTATTGGTCAAAGTTTGGCTTTGCTGAGGTTTGTTCTTGTAAAAAAAAAAACTAAGTAGGTCATATAAATATGTTATAACTTCAACTCTTCATTTCTCTTCTGAATTATTTGTGAGTGGTTTATAATTTTTAGCATCTGAAATCATATTTCATTATCATTATTCCACTTTATTAGCTTATTGAATGTTTGCACTTTTGAATGAGTTTTCTTTGTGTTTGACATGTAAGTAGCAATTACTTACTTACAGCTTTTCACATTATTCACTCATTTTCACCAGAGAATTGATGATTATGGTGTAGTTTTAGGTGTCGTTTTATTGTGTAGTATAATCTAGAACTTTTATTTAATCTATTTGTTCCACACTGGTTAACACAATGGTTCACACTCAACCATCTTTTGTTAGATATGCTGATAACGCTTTCACAAGTCTTATTAATAAACCTCATTTTACAATAAATCAAAGTTTTTAACAATTTTGTAGCTGTATTTTATGTTTCAATCTTCTAAAAATGTGAATTTATTTTTCTATTCAAAAACACACACACACACAAATCATTTCCTTGGTTTTGTTCATTTGTCTCCTATATCGATAAGACTTTTGAAAATAAATTATTTGACATCACCCAGCTTATTTATCTAATTAGTAACTTATCTTTAAGATTTGTGTATTATGTTTAGTTAAGAGTCTGGAAAAGGAATTTGGTCATTACAGTAAAATCAGACACGTACACATCTTTTCTGCTTTCCACAAATCTCTGAAATCTTTTGGACAATATGTTTGCAAAAGATTATAATATTTCCTAATGATTAGGAGTAGTGTCACTGAAGGTGAGGGCTCTTTCTGTCGGATTTAGCTTCCACACTTTTGTGTTTTTAATCACGTCAATTTGTGTCTCCAGCTGATTCGCTTCAGGGACCACACAGAGATGAACGGCGCTTACAGAGCCACACTTCAGGCCATCGAGCAGACCCAAGTCAACATCCAGTGGGTCCAGGAGAACCACGACGCGGTCCTGGAGTGGTTTGAAAGAGAGACTGCCAATCTAGAATAATCAAAGCTCCAGATGTTTTGCGGCCCATCGGATCAGCGGTTAAACCGGTTTTCAGGCGGCTCTAGTAAATCTAAGTAGAGATGAAGTTAAAGGATTTTACAGATTTCCATTTGATCAGACAGAAGTGGTGTGATGTGTAGCACAGACAAGAGAGGTGTGCTCTTGTTTGTGTAAATAATGAATATTATTTATAGCATATTCAATGCAAATAGTAAAAACATAGATTTTATTCCCTTTTATGAATTGTGCGTTTCCTGCATTGGTAAAGATGTTCTTATATGAGATTTCTTGTGTGTGTTGCTGCTGATTTATATAAATTTAATGAATATACTTTTTTTCTTTTACGGACTGACAGTTTGATTATTATTTTACTGTCCCAATACACAACTTTAGTTTAAAAAATATATATAATAGTAATCCTCACATAACCGGTCTCCATGCTGCTGCTGGTTCCCAAACACACACAAACATCCAGAATAACATCTGAAAGTTCGCTTGAGCATTGAATGTTGAAATCAAACAATCCAATTACTGTTATTGCATTCATTTTTTTTTTTTTTTTGCTGAAATTGTTATTTTTAATAATAAAACATCAACAGCGAGCCCTTTCATTTGGTCTATGTTATTTTAGTTTTAGCAACAGGAAATGCCACGCTGTCCGAGTCTGAACTGAGATTAGACGTAATCAGACACAACTTGTTTTAATTACCAGTTTGTTTTTCGAAGGATTCCTTCGTTGCACAGCCAGCTTGTAAGCATGTAGGATGATTTATTTGGGCCCTCAAAAGCAAAGTGAACAGACAGCCCAGGGTGAAAATTAACTCTCCATCACTTTTACCACTGATTTCTGTCTGAAGGTTTAAAAAAAGATTCCTAAGCTCCAGAAATGGCCCTGTGTTGTGTCCACAAGTGAAAAACAACTTAGTATAGGACTTCAAACCGGCTATTTTGGCACTTTGTTAGCAGCACCTTCACAAAGACATATTCCTGTGGTTGACCAACTTTAAAAGACTGGAAACAGGATTTACGCTTCAACAAGCTAACAATCATACTTTATTGGTATTATGCTGAAGAGATGAAAACAAAGCAATAAAGTGTAAGGAAATGTGGTGCATGCTGCATTTTTTTCACATATAAAGTGTTTTGAATGTTTGTGTTTTACTCCAATGCCTCTAAATAAAAAACGGTGCAAGAAAATGGCTTCAAAAGTGAATTAGTAAAGGGAGGGAGAAAGTTAAGGAGAGGTTTAAAGCAGATAGTTGGGTTAAACAGCAAAATCCCAAACTTTCAACATGTCAGAACTGTTCAATCCAGCATCAGCTAATGGAATGACTGAACTGTTCACAAAAACTGAAAATCAAGTGTAACTTTCAGGGCGGGGGGGGGGGGCTTGTAAATACTTGGTTTAGGCTGTAAACAGATTTGTTGTTTCTCAACTTATCAACTAACCTATTTTATTTTATTTTTTTTATCATAGTATGCAGTTGCAGTTCAAATACTTTAAGGAAAATTAGGACAGAAGCAGTCAAACGTTACAGATTCAGGAACAATCGACTTAAAAAGAAACGGTAAAAATTTAAACTAGGCTGTTTGTGATGAAGGGTTTTGAATGACCTTCAAGATTTTGAGAAAATCTGGCTGCTCGGAAAGAGACTTTGAACTTTTCCCTAATATGGAATAAATTTGGGAAAGAAATCTTGTCTTAGGTGCCTGAGCTTTATTCTCAGACAAACGGAGTAAAAACAAGAACTCGAAGAGCATCTGTTCTTCTCTCGTCTCATCACAGAGGACGATGTGAAAGAAAAAAAAAAGAGAAAAAGAAAATAACTTTGTAACAGTGATTAATGACGCTATTCAGGCTGTGTGTGGTAGTCAAATTTGTATAAACGAGGCCATTTAATTCAAAAGATAAAACAAAAACATACTTTTTTTTTATTGTTATTTTTTTTTTAAAAGCACTGCAGCTGCAATCTTCAGAGTTGATGCAGGATGAAAACCGTTTAACCCTGAAGACCAGATCAGAACCCACGTTGTCTTCAATCGTCCTGGAGAGAAATGCAGATCAGCTTACGAGCAACAAATCCAGGCACATGCAGAACTCCTATTAAAAAAATAACTAATAGGCAAATATGATTGTCTATTTGCATGCAGAAATACACACTATAGATTACTACTGTGGCAGCTGGTCTCTTCCTCGTTAAGCATTTATTTACCAAAGTCAGAAGTCATTAAGTGAGGCTCAAGTCATGAGTGAAGTACTTATCTTGCTAAGCATTAAAATTCCTATTCCATTTTCTGGTCAATTAATCACAGAAATACGTCATACTAGCATTATTTTTATCTATTTCAAATTGTTTATTATTTATTACACCAAAATGTGATTAAAGTTCAAAGCAAACGTAATTTTAATAACAATTACATACAAAAATGTCAGATCTTTTGGAACTAAAAGTAAATAAACGTTTTTCTAATGCTAGATTAATCATAAGAAAAGCTAATGAGTCACATTTAATAAAAAAAAACATGAACAAAACTAAAACAACAAACAAAAATTAAATTCAACAAATAATTAGATGTGATTCTGACCCATTCGTCCTCCTCGGCTCCCTCCCCTGCCGCTCCAGGCCCCTGAGAGCTGCTGCCGTCTGTTTTGTTGGCCATTATCTTGTCGGTCCACGAGGCGCCGGCCTTTTCATCTCCAGCAAAGTTGCATTTGGTCACCGTCCCGCTGTCCACTTTGGCTAAAGAGACTGTGAGATAAGAAAGTCAGGAATGTGGTCCACGCTGCACGTGACGCACAGCAGAGGTTCAAAAAGCAACAGAACCAATTATTTGAGTTCTTGATCATTACGTCTTTGGTTTTTAGGCTTGTAATGTGGTAAATTTACTGCACAGCTAAATAAGCTTTTTTTTTTTTATTATGGGAGCCAACTAAATAATTAAAGCACACTGACAGATGAAAGGACTGTTTCCTCTGGTCTTCAGTCGGACTTCCTGTCCCATTTCCAGCTCTGTTTTGTCCATCTCCGACTCTGGGTACCAAAAGGCCCAGCTCCCAGCAGGTCGGTGCTTGTCCGTGATTTTAACCAGCTCAGCTTTGTTGATCGTCTGCGACAGCTGATCTTCAGTCAGGCGGTCGGACTCTCCTTTGGCTTCCACCTCTGCACAGACAAAAAAAAAAAAAAAAAAGCATGTTTAAATCAATTTAATTTAAAAAGGTGACGGAAAATAAAACTATTTTTCCCACAGTGTGAAAGTTTGTTTTTTCTAATCTGATATGCAGTTCGCACCAAGATAATGGTGAAGACTGAAGATACACAAAAACTGTGGTCATCACTCACTGTAGGAGGACATAAGGAAGCCTGTGTTGACCTTTCTGGTGTCGCTGAAGTTCGGCTCCACCTCCTTCCCACTGGCTTCGAATTTCCTCTGGTGGATGCGTCCGGGTTTGATGTACAGCACGTAGAAACGTACCTGACATTTTTTTTTTTTTTAGAAGATATCAGGAGAGAAAACGAAGAGTAGTTTAATTTTCATCAGTCTTTGCTTTTAATTTTGGTTTGGTTTGGCTCTGGTACCTTCTGAATATATATATGTTTTTTATATCTTTATATCAATCAAATGCACCCTTACAGTAGAGCCAACTCAGCTTTGCAAAGCTTGGATAAATTCCCTTATAAAGCTGTTTTTACAAATATGACAACAACTCAAACCTTTAGTTATCTCATTTTTTTTTTTTTAGCAATTAGCTTTGGTTTCATATTTGCTGGTTTTATTCACATATATATCTTCTTTAACAAAACAAATGCTGCACTTCAAGAACACCTCCTGTGTTAATTAAATTAAACGAAAAATAATCCAACAAAACAGGAATCGAAATAAAGAATTAAAGAAAAATCATACTGAAAAAAATAATAGTAAGGTAGTCAAATGTAATCTAATATGCAAAAGTAAAAAACACAAAAACAAAATAAAAAGTAAAAGCGTCAAATAAAAAAATTAACAGAAATAAACATAAATCCATCAAATAACAAAAAAGACATAGATTACAATCTAAAAATAAATTTAAAACATGCCAACCTAAAATAAAACTAAAATAACAAAGAATAAAATCAAATCAAAACACATTACACCACGCTAAATTAAAACAACAAAATAATTGAATTTTTAATAATTTTATGAATATAAATAAATTTGAACCACATGTAGCCAAAATTAATTAGCTGAAATAAGAGAAAATATAGTAAAATTATATAAATAAGTCTGGTACACCTTTTGTCCGTTGACATCACTGATTGAATGTCTGGAAACATCCATCAGTTTCCCCTCCAGAAGAATCCCAGGACCACTGAGAGACAGCAAAATGTCAAGTTTGAACTGAATGAGTACAATTATTGTCAAACTGATCAGTTATTACATTTCAATTTTAAAATATGTTTGGTTTGTAAAGTACTGCATTAAAGGTTCTAGCATATTGATGCGGATATAAATGTGTTGATGTTTTTGTATTGTTGTATAGGTATCTCAACATTATCTCCTTTAGCACTTTGCAGATTACAGCCGAATTGTTTATTTTTTGGAGTTAAAGGTTTTTAGGATATACATAAAAGCGTTCTGCTCTTAATGTTAAGAGCAATAGAAAAACTGTGATTTTACTATTGGGATTTGGTGAAACTGCACTTTGATGGATTTATTAGTTTGGAGCTCCTACCTTTCATACGAAGAAGGACACCACACACGGTCAAAACTCTCATTGTGCACCGGTTTGTTCTGTAAAGACGTGTTGTGATAGATTCTGCTCATTTTTTTAAACGTAATCTCAAGTTTTTCTTCCCTCTCAGGGACTTTTTTCCTGTTTCCAAACTTCCTGTTCCTACATGTAGCTGTGCTAGAGCGAGGTGCGCTCGTTTTTTACGCCTGCAGTGCCGCCAGATAAGTGCAAACCAAAGATCGAAACAAGAAAGGTACAACGGAGCATGACTGAATAACATGTTTTATTTAAGTGGATTTTAAATGCGTCATTACATCATGCAGTCTTGTATGTGATATTTTCCAGGGCAAGTTTTATACCTCGTCACTATTTATAATGAAAAGTTATTAGAGAAACGGACATTGATGGATCCCAGGTACTCTTAATGTTATATAAATATGGGAACATAGGAAATTTTATATAGATCTGTAGTTTTTATTTAACATAAATTACAAAGAACAAAATAACAGACAGATCTATCCATCTATCTGTGTTCTATCTGATGATAGTTGAGTTGCCTCCATCAAAACAGGACTTTTAAGGTGAAAATAATTAAATATTCAGAAATACAAGAAGCATAAAGTAAGATATAGGGGGTAAAATTACCACAGAATGACCAGAAAAATAGAACAGGTGAGCTCCAAAAAGCTAAAATGTTTTGCCTGTCTTGAGTAAGAAATAAATTCTGAAACACAAAATCTGCATACAGCATGCAGCTTTTTCTCATTTTGATATTTGAAAGCCCTTTCATGCACCCCTCGCACACAAGGGCTCCTGCTAGAGCGTGATGTTGTGCAATGAGCTAGGTTTGTGTTTTTACTCATTGATGGATGTTCTTCTGGCTCTTTTGGACCTGTTTTGCATCTCCTCTGGTCTTTCTATTCTAGGCTTCCTTGATGAAGCTTCCTTCCATTTCAAACTTTCGGGGCCTGCAGGGAGCTTTAAAATCCAGAATATCAGTGCAGACTGAAGAGCAACATCCTGTCCCTGAGAGCTTGCTGCTCAGGGAGTTATCTTCCTGGTTCACATCACAGAGCAGAGCAGAGGCCGTTATCGGGGGAGCGTTCGAGTTACAGGGGTTCACTGGGGTCAGGACAGCTGAACCAGTCTGTGGGCGGACAGAAACAGCTTTAAAAACATACAATATTTTTTAATTCCATTTCTTGTTATTACAAACCACTCCCATCATTGTTCACAATCAGCTCATGCAATGTATACGTTTGGAAACAGAGGGGTTTTCTATACTCATCAGTGGATTCCATGATGATAAACTTCATCTGACTCTGACCGTTACTCATAATATTCCCAGTGATCTCAGTTCTTGTTCATTTGATCCTGGAAGAACCTTTAAGAAGCCAAGATAACCTATATATGTGCTCCTACTATAATCTCAATGTAGAGTTTAGCAAAACCTAACTTGAGTACATTTGTGCAATTAGGTCTTATTGCACAGGTTTTACCAGGGGTGTCAATAAGCTTGGGGGAAAGTTGTACTTGTAGAACACTGATTTTCCTACTTTAGTAATTGTGTACTTAATTTTTTTACTGTTTTTTTTCCTTGTAAGTACATGATAAGAAACAACATGCTTTCTTTCATAATGGTCTGAGAGAAAAGGGGCAATTCACCTGCTCAGAAGCGTAGCGACCGAGTTGGATGTTGAGCCAGATGTTTCTTCTCTGACTCCACCCTCCTGGAGCCTCCACCTCATAGAGACGCGCCCGATGTTCCTCGTGCTGCTGCAGGAACTTCCTGATCACTAAACACGGCGTTAAAAGAAAAAAAAAACTAATTAAATAAACTTTAACATTCTGCACAAGGCCCTAAAAACATTTAGTTTCATAATTTGTTGTTTTACTTTTTTCTTTAAAGTCTTTTTTATACACTTCTCCCTCAGTGGGTCAGGTTTTCCACTTAGATAACCAGACCATCTATTCTAGGGGTTTGCTGCCTTCTGACCTCATCACTCTGCAGAACTGTCCACACATGCAGGTTTAATTACATTAATAAGGCAGGGGTTTCTGGAAACTGCTACAAATGCATGCTGGATTACCCTAGGATCCATTAAACAGATGTGGGCAATTTTAGAAGCATGTATGACTGAGTCTGTTTTATCTGCAGATAAAAAGACGAACCAAGCAGGAGGTGGGATTCCAGGTCATTAAATTTACCATGTTTTGCTCCATGGAGGTGTTAAACAGGGAGCGTATTGAATCTCCCCCTGTGGCAAGAGTTGAAAGGAATAATAGTCAGAACTAATAAGTCTTTAACAAACAACTGTCCCCTCAGGACGTTTCACCTGGCAGGAAACAACTGGAGGTGAAAACAATAAACTGACTCAGCTCTCCACCTGGTCAGAGAGAGGCCATTAAAGCTCCTGTCTTTGTGCTGCGAGCTGTTAGCCATTAAGACGTAAAGCATAAAAAAGGCAGCCGCAGCTTGACCACCACTCCGAATAAGGGTGCCCATATGGGAAACTTTATGTTACATCCGAGCCCAAATGTCACAGCACACAGTAAATGACAGACATCAAAAAGTGACGCATGAAGGGACAAAAAAATTAATCACTTTATTAACAATTGTCCTTTTTGCCAACCCCCTGACTCCAAAGTGGTAACTTAAGTCACCAGCTGTTCCTCATTCATGGATAATCAACATGGTGAAGTAAAAGGAAAAAAAAAAAGTTTGACATGAAAAGCATGTAAATAGAGCCAGATATCAAGTATAGAGTTTCCCCCATTGACAATAGCATGTCAGAACATTTCCAAGTAAAACTGAAAGTTGCCATTGCAATGGTTACAGGTCTTATGAAATATTCATTTTGTCTGCCTAATATGCCAGCAAAACACAAAACATTCTTCCCCAACACAAAAATAAAATGCAAGGAAGGGGTTTAAATTTGAAATAAACATACTGACCTGCCACCATGCCGGACGACAAGGGAAAGCTGACTCCGAGGAACTCCTCCGAGGAGAAGGAGGAGCAGAAGTCGTGCAGGATCTGAAGGCCGAAGCCTCTCCTCCTGTATCGTCTCCTCACCAGCACAGTGTCCAGGACAGGCAGCAGGTAGCAGCGGCTGCTCCAGCTGTCACAAAGTCTGCCTGAAACAGCACAGGAAAGACTTTTCATTGTTTTTTGCTTGACCACAGGATGTTTCACTTCAGAGGAGCATTTCAAGTTTGTAGGCGTTTTCCAGGAAAACAACAGTATTAAGGTTTAGATCGAGCTTATTCATTTGGAAGTGGTTCGGTGAAGGTCCAGAATGAAATCTGACAACATTTGAAAATTGATTTCCACGTTTGCTCTGCATCCAGTCTGGCTAAGCTTGAGCTATTCTGCAAAAAAGAATAGTCGGAAGTTGTAGTCGCCGTTAAGTGCCAAGCTGGTAGAGGCATACTTTCAAAATCTTACAGTTTTATTTACAGCAGAAGTGGATTCAAAGTGTTGAATCAGAGAGACATGAGAGAAATCATACAAATGCAGGACAAACATATCAGATATCCGTCTGAAGAAACTACTGAAAATCACGAATCGCTTTCCGTCCAGCTGCGGCAGAGCACTGTATCTTTAAAACTTACATGTCTTCTATTTGAACATTTTAAACTTTAATGGAAACTGACTGATCTTCCCCACCTTTGTGTTTGATGGTGTAGAAGCCGACCGCCTGTCCGTCCTTCCACAGCACTTTGCAGGTTTCTGTGGGTGGATGCAGGGAGAAGGACACCTCTCCATGTGGCCTCTCCACCACCTGACTGAGCAGGAACACGATCAACCTCTCCATGATGGATTGCACCTGTGGACGACGTGCGCAGGTGCAGATAATACAGAGATGCTTCACTCACTGGACCTCAATCTATATTGCAAGTGACAAATGTGCAGGAAGTCCTACATGTGATGTTCTCTCAGATCCAGAAGAGATATTGTCTCACCAGATTCTAAAATTGTTTCACTTACTGGCTGCAAGCCACTTCTGGACTCACTGGAGGTCTGCAGCACGTCGTCCAATGGCCACCACTTCTTGTGCAAGTATAAAGCTAAGACTAGAAGGTAAAAACAGAGAGGTAGGAGTTGAGTCTGCGTCTGACATGGCGTTGAAACACCGTGTTTGGTTCCAAACCCTGTGTTTGATCATGCGGAGGATGAAGCGCCAGCACAGTGCAGGCAGGATGTTCGTCCTCAAACAGCTGGAGCTGTCTGATGTTGGCTGGTGTTACAGCAATCTACATGAAGAAAACGACAACAGTTTAAAAACAATGTGTAAGTGGTGTTGCATTTTGTAACAGCAGCAGAAGAGATGAAGCCCTATTATTTGTCTTTATATATTTATATTCTGCTGCAGCTCCTCTGGCTATTCTGACAGTTTGGATTCCTTGAGGCATGGATCCAGCATTCCTGCGCAGCAGCTGACAGATCAGCTTTGCAGGACGGAGCTCGGTCATGCAACGTTTGAAACTTCCCCTTGATTTGAGATCCAGACTGTTTTCAAGTTATTTCATGGAACTGGTTTGGCTTTACTGCAGAGAAGTTGGAAGGCTTTGTGCATGGTGGACAGAATATTTTTTTCTCCCCAAAAATGACTTCATTATAAACAATCCCTTTTTGTACTGTTGGAAACGAGATCCACCTGTGCATTAGGGATAAAGGCTTCCATCTGGAGCTCCTCTAGTTTCTGTTACTTTGGTTTTTCAACGTGTTAAATCCCATTTCCTTCAGCTGGAATTGTAGAGTTCACAATAGTAGTTTACTCTAACTTTCTAGCTGGTCCAGGGTTTTACCATGTTTCACTTTTATAATCCTGGACATTTTGTTTGTCCTTCATATACATTTTAGACCTTTTAACCTTTTGTCACAGTCTGAGCGAACTTCTCGAAGGGGTTTTTGTAACAGTTTCAATTGTTTCAACCGACTGTTTTCTTGTTGCTGTCATGATTTCTGTCAATCAGTCAGATGTAGAAGTCTACAAGTATTTCAGTCTAACAATGATTTAAAAAAAAAATTAGTTTAACATCATTAATAATAACATTACTGTTATGCTGTGGTTTGAAAAGGGAAAAAAATCATTGTCAGTCTTGTTGCTTTTAGATTTAAAACCATTTGAATGTAAAAATTAATAATAATTATTCAAAATGTCATATATTTTTATTGCTGATCATTTTTCATTATTGTTTCTTTGGTGTTTTTTTTTTCTTTTTTTCTCACTCACTTACCTTCAAATATTTGACAGTAACAAGTCTCAACGTTATAAAAGTAGGTAATTAATATATAATAAATCTGTACATGGAATCAAAACAGTTACATTTATATAAATGTAAAAAAAAATGCAGTTAATGGCAAGAATAAGAAAGCGTTATCCAACCTCTTTTGACGTCAGTAATGACCGAAACCACTCATTGCAGGAATGTGTTGCGTTCAGTGAAGCTAGGTAATTTTCAGATGCGGATGTCAGCTCGGTGTCGTCCACAGCTGGCAGGTCGACAGGATACATTGCCCTTCCAGTTTCAGAGGAGAAATAGGAAAGTCTCAGGTGTAGTGACACCAAAACTAATGTTTAACCTGTCATAATACTTTGGGTTTTTACGGGTTTCAAACTTTAAGTCAATAATTATGATATAATTTTTGCGCTTCATGATGTTTCTTACAAAAGTTTGAGATTTCGAGGCATTTTCTACAGGAAACAGCGGTGCGTCTGATAATAGCGATGACAGTGAAAACAGCACGTCACGACGTCATAACAGATGTCTTCAGCCAAAGACAGCGAATATTTATCAAATATTCTGTAAACTTTACAATGACATGAAAATGTGTAAGCACTACCTGTGCAGTCTTGTGGTAAGCCTAAACTTTGATCCCACTTTTGCGTCAGTCATCAGCGCCATCTACCGACAAAAAAACAACTAAGTTTCTCATTTGGTGACGACAAGAACATAAAGGGAATCTTCGAAATAAAAGCAAATACTTTGCGCTTATTAGTTTTTTCATTAGCAAAAATGAAATATAAAAAATAAAATAAAACATAAAGAAATAAAAAAACAAAGGGTCCATTCTATTCACTACGAATTTACTCTCATTAAAAAAAAACGTGCAACTGAATTTTATTTTCTTTTTCTTTTTTTTTTTAAAAAAAACCAACGTTTTCTGCAAACACTTTTTCCACGATGGTTTTCTCGAGATTAACTCTTTACCTCAGGAAAACGACCGGGAAAAAGTATATGCTTAAAACGTCCGCTCTAGGCTTCCGTAACAATTACTGTACATATATTTGCACATGGAAAACACACCATAAGAACATGGATTATGAATCTAAACATGTTTTTGCTTTAATTGTGCAGTATTATTTAAAAATATAAAATATAAACAGCAGTCAAGACGGCGCTCAAGGTCTGATTTGTGTTTATTTTATTTTGAAAAAACAAAAATAACGGAAGCTCTTCTGTGTGATGTTTATTATTATGAACTTAACGAGTCAGGAACCGTGTTCACAGGTAAACAATGTGGCTTAATTTGACACCGAGCCGTAGGCTGCTTTCCCTCCGGTGGAGTCTCATTCAGTATCGCAACATAACATTAGAAAACACCACCAGGGTGAGTTGTATCTTTTTTTAAATTTATTTATTTATTTAGCCTTGTCTCAGAAGGTCGTTTGCAAAGTGAAACCAGGGGGAATTAAAGGTTACTACTCAAAGTCGGGGCAATATTATGCATTCAAATGTGAAATGATAATTATTTAACGTAGTATGCATTTGTTTTTAGTGTATAAGTGTAGAAAAACACCATAATACATTCGCTCCATTTGCGCATTGTTTCTTAATTATTTTTTGCTTTTATTTTTAGAATCTGTTATTCTGGAATAGTAGACAGCTTATTTATTTTTGTCGTAACCTAACACTTTTCCCCTGCAAACTATCACACCCGGTCCGCCATTGTAATCGGGTTAAATATGAATCACGTGACGTTGGCATTGCATCAAATCATTGATGGTTCGGTGACACAAGAGTAGTTTATCCCCAGCTTCGCTAATGTCCGTAAATAATCTTCATTGGTAGCAAAGTGAAATATATAGTTAAATGTCAGACACAACACTGACCAGTTAAAGAAAATGTTTAAAAAACTGATATGGACCTATTGAGTGAAAACTATTGTGTCATTTGTTCAGAAAGCTGCTGTAGACAAGGTTCTCTCTGCATTTAGAACTATATGTGGAAAGGACAACGTCTCTCTGGGTGAAGCCGTCAGAGAACAACATGGCAAAGACGAGTCTGTGCACAGGTCAGAAGTTCTCTGTTTACTACGAGCACTGCTGTAGAAACATAAATAAAACTCGTGTGTTCTTTTCTGTGAACGGTGGAGGGTGACCTGAATCATGCATTGCTTCTGTGCAGATGTCGGCCCCCAGATGTGGTTGTGTTCCCGCGCTGTGTGGAGGAGGTCAGTGCTCTAGCAAAAGTCTGTCATGACCACAACCTTCCCATCATCCCATTTGGCACTGGGACGGGCTTGGAGGGAGGGGTTGGTGCGGTGAAGGTGAGAGTGTGTGTCAATATTTGTTCCATGAATGCATCTCTGACAAAAAAAAAAAAAAAAAAAGTTTGTGTTTCCAGGAGCATGTCCAATTGGGCTTTGGTTTTAATCTTTAAATGCAAAACTGTTTGTTTCGAAAACACAAAATCCAACATATGCGTTCTTAGGTGAAAAAAAAAACAATCTGAAAAATATTTATTTTATGCGTCTCTGTGATTCTTTTTTCAGGGTGGTGTTTGCTTCAGTTTGAGGAACATGGATCAGATCTTAGACCTTCACCCAGAGGACTTTGATGTGACCGTTGAGCCTGGTGTGACCCGGAAAGCTCTTAACGCCTACCTACGGGACACAGGCCTATGGTTCCCTGTGGGTCAGTCACACAGTCTCCAGTTTATACTCCATGAATCACAGTTTACAGATTAAATGCTAACTTCTGTGCGGTTGTTTCTGTGCAGTTAGTGGATTATTGTGAAGCTCTTAGCAATATTAAAGTATAATTGTGATGGGAAACAGCAGCTTTAGATTTTTGTTGTGCATTTTAGTTTTATTACCCTTTTTCGTCATGGCTTGATATTTGTTTGACTAATTAATGACATGGTGGAGTCTATTGTTTGATATATTTTCTGTAGGATTTAAATCTCTTCAGAACCCGGTAAAGTTCAGGTGCCTGTGTAATAAATAATCTTGTCGCTGGCAAACTAGCTGTCTTCTTGGACGTTGGTTTTAGATCCTGGAGCTGATGCTTCCCTCTGCGGCATGGCTGCCACCAGTGCTTCGGGAACAAACGCTGTGCGTTATGGCACTATGAGAGAAAACGTCATGAACCTGGAGGTGGTTTTGTCTAATGGAACGGTCATACATACAGCCGGGAAAGGCAGGCGTCCCAGGTACAACGTCAACCATCACATACACCCTGTAGCCTTGCTTGTTGTAGTTTCATCATCATTATTTTGTTTTCAGGAAAACTTCTGCAGGATACAACTTGACAAACCTGTTTGTGGGCTCAGAGGGCACTTTGGGTATCATTACCAAGACTACGTTACGGCTATACGGCGTCCCAGAGGCCATGGTGTCGGCTGTCTGCTCTTTTCCCTCCGTCCAGGCCGCTGTAGACAGCACCGTGCAGATCCTGCAGACTGGAGTCCCTATTGCTCGTATTGGTACGGACAAGTCAAACATCTTCTACTTGTTAAAAGTTGACATCTACGAAATATAAAGCGACTTCAATAAATTAGCAACATGTAGAATGTCACATTTGTATTCCTCTTCCCTCTCTATTTCCATTGTGTGTTTTTTGCTTTCAGAGTTTCTGGATGATGTCATGATTGATGCGTGCAACAAGTTCAGCTCTCTGTCCTACCCCGTCACCCCAACTCTGTTCCTGGAGTTCCACGGGTCGGAACGCAGCCTGGAAGAACAAGTCAGCACGGCTGGTGTGTGAGAGAGTGGTGAACGGGAACAATTTCTCTGACATTTGCTGTTAGCTTCAAGACTCTTGCTCCTTCAAATGTGTTAACACAGATCGGCTGTTGTGATTGTAAAGCTAAGACTAATTATTTTTTGATATTTGGGCAACAAACGAATAGAACCCAGCTAATGGAAATTACTTAAGAATCAAGAGTCATACTGGAAAGTAAAACACTTACAGTCTCCGTGTTTGTTTCTCCAGAGGAGATTACACAGAGTAATGAAGGCTCAGACTTTCAGTGGGCTCGAGACGCCGAAACAAGGAACCGTCTGTGGAAAGCTCGCCATGACGCCTGGTACGCTGCACAGGCACTGAGACCGGGCTGCAAGGTAAAACTAATCAGGATATTGAAACACGCAACATTACACCTGCAAAAGTCAACCATATCAAGATGTGATGCATTTCCGACTATACCAAATCTTAGATCAATTTATAACCGATGGTCTCAAATATTAACAGTATAATCATATTGTTACAAATCATTGTCATTGTCATACTATGGCCCTTGCTTTTTCAGTGTACTCAGTTTTTTTTTTTTTTTTTTTCCATCAAGTAAGATGGAGGCCAGTTTCATATTGTAGTAGTGCATTTCTATCTAGCTTTGTGTGGAAGAGCAGTCAAAGGACATGCAATTAAGACCTATATTAAACTTTTTTTACTTAATATATGAAGGGTAACCCTAACCCTTTTTTTGTAGAGTAACCCTGGTGTCTTGTTGACTGCTGCTGTTCTTGCACATTATTTATCCAAATCTGAAGCAAACTGCTGCCTTTTGGGGCATTTATGCGTCTCTCTCTACTAATGGTTTAAATTTTAAAGATTTCAACAGACAGCTGCTTAGAGCCATTCCGATATGGTGACCTTATCTTTCTTGTATATGTGTGTGTGATTTGTGAAGGCCTACTCCACAGACGTGTGTGTCCCTCTGTCGCAACTTCCTCAGATTATCGTGGAGACAAAGAAGGACCTGCTTGAGAGCCGGCTGACAGGTGAGAGAAAGACGAGAACTTCTGGTGTTTTAGAGGTTTTTAGCAAAGCAAACCTCTAAGTGCATTCAACCTAGTTCAGTTTTATCACTTAACAAACCAGCAGTGTACATGCAACACAATTGTTGAGTGTGTGTTCTATGACTTTGTATTTTTTTAGTTTGTTTTTATGATGTAAAGTACTTTGAACTGCCTTGTTGCTGAAATGTGCTATAAAAATAAACTAGATTGATTGTTTAGCAAATCCAAGTAAAATAAAATGAACACACATAAAACATCCAATGGGCGTTTTCTGCTTAATGGATACAAGCCCATTCTGTTTCAGGTCCTATTGCAGGTCATGTTGGTGACGGTAACTTCCACTGTCTGATGGTTGTGGATCCAAATGATCCAGACGAGCTGCACCAGGTCCATCTGTTCACAGAGAGGCTGGCCAGGTAACATTTCTCTGAGGGCTGAACCAATGCCTGCAACCTGTGACTGTCTGACTTTCTGTCTGTGTTTCCTCTCTGTGTCATTGACATGCAAAAATCTAATTTTCTCTTCGTTCTTCTGCAGGCGAGCATTGGCCATGGACGGCACGTGTACAGGAGAGCACGGTGTGGGTTTAGGAAAGAGAGCGCTGCTGTGTGAGGAGGTGGGACCTCTGGCCATTCATGTCATGCAGGGACTCAAGGACAGTCTGGACCCAAGGAACCTGATGAATCCTGGGAAAATCCTCCAAAGAGGAGAGTTATAAACTGAAGTTCTCTCCAGAGGGTGAGAGTATGGCATAAGATTGGAGTAAAAAAAAAAATCATTAGGTTGTCCGTGTAGGTGTGCACCAGAATTCATTGAAGAAAATTTCAAGATGTATCACCACTGTACTTTCTGTTGGATGCCAGGGCACCTGGAAGACAGAATACAAAAAGTATAGCTGCTGTTTTTGTTCTTAATTACTTGAAATGATAAAAATGTGACATCAAATAATGAGATTGTATTACTGTGGCTGAGGAAATCCAGTTAAAGCCTTATCAATGTTTGTAATATGTTATTACGTTTTATTTCATTTTTAAAAGTGTTTTTAAAATGCTACAACAGAATTAGTTTGGTCTCACCAAAGCTTGAGGTTTCCGCAATGTTTTTATTTTTGCTGACTATAAATTTTATGTAGTAATTTTATCCTTTGAATTATGTTTGTAAATAGGAAACAAAAGTATACTCAAATATTAAATCTATAATTTTTAAAACAAGAGGTCAATGCTTGTTTATAAATGACAGTGAAGTGATTCTTCTTATTCACTGATTAACTAGAAGATAATAAATACTTTTGATTAGAATTTTCTCAAGAATGGCATCAAAAAGTGACTATTTCATTCAGTAATTCCCAAATGCACATATGTGGTGTGAGTTATTTCTGTTAATTTTGGTGATTATGGGTTACAGCCCTATCTCTAGCTATAGACTTTGACAAAACAAAACTAATCTCTCCATTATTGAGGCAGAATTTAATAGTCAAGATGTGAATATTTTGATTTGTTAATCACTAACAACAGAGATGCTGGAGTAAACACCAGTAAGTCTGTGTTAATGCAGAAACCCAGGAAAAACTTTAGCTCAGAATGGTCCACTTTCTGGAAGTCTGAATCCAAACCCAAGTGAAGCGTTTGTTGACGCTGCAGTACTCGATTTCACCAACTGGTGTCAGCATTTCTTCCATTTGTGACAAATTCCATCAGTCCATCAGAAGACAGACTAATAACAGCGTATTCTTGCTGCTGTGGTTACTAACTGGTTGGGTCAGCTGCTAAGTGGAGATTCGGAATGACACAGTTTTCCTAAGACAAACAGTTTGAGCTTATTTGGGCTGCTATAAAAAAAAAATTGAAGAATATTGAATTTGTCTCTCAGTTTATAGACAGTTTGTTTTTATTGCTGATATTGATTTGTAAAAGCTCTCAGCTGCCATGCATACAGACACAGATCACTGAATGACTTATCTTGAAGAAGCTCTGGAGTATAAATGTCTGTCTTATAGATGCAAAGTGCCTCTAAATGACCATAAAGTGGCACAAACTTATCCAAAATGGACCCATGAGAAATAAATCACACAGAATCAGCCACAGAGAGGATCAACTGTAGACACTCAATATCTCAAGCGGTTTAGAAACTCAGCTAGAAAATGCATTAAAGCTTTGATAGAATATGGCAGGGCTGCACAGTGGCATACTAGCACTGTGGTTTTGCGTTTAAATCCTGGGTTTAAATCCTAGTCTCAGGAGTTTGCATGTTCTCCCCGTGCTTGCCTGGGTTCTGGTACTCCGGCTTCCTCCCACAGTCCAGAAACATGACTGAAAGGTGAATTGCTCTTTCTAAACTGCACTTACGTAGGAGTGTTTGTGTGCATGGTTGTTTGCCCTGTTTTCTCTGTTTTGTCCTGTGACGGACTGGCGAGCTACATCAACTTTTGGAAGGCTGGTGTGATTGACCAATATAAATTAAGGAGATCTGAAAATATATATTGGTGGCTTGCTGGATGTAGCAGAAAGAGATAGACGGTTTTTACTGGATGGTCAAAGTTAGAGTGATCTCTCTTTTCCATACACCACCTCTCTCACTGTAACAGTACTTTCAAATTACGCATCTTTAACCCACCCATGCCTCACTGGTTCGAATGTTCACCTTTAGCTTTATGTATTGCCTCCAAGTAGCCAGACTTTTATGTTTTGTTTTAAATAAGCATTGATCACAAGTTTTCTGAGGCTAAATAAAGGACTTTCAAAGTATTACTTTGGACTTGGACCACCTATCCATGTGCCAGAGCTTTGCAGCATACTTTCTGTGCAGCATGGGGTTTAAAAATGAGGAATGTGGAGGGCAAAGGAAGAAGTGCTGTGGAAAACAACTACGCCAAGCAGATGAACAGTATCTGATTTGCTTAAGTAACAGCGAAAATGCAGCAAGGCTGCTTTTCAGTATACAAAGGTTTAATCAAGCAGCTCCAGAAGAACAGCTTTTTCGGAGCTAGAATTCTGTTTTCTCTCTAACTATGTTATATTTTACGTTTTTTGCACAAGAAGTAAAAATAAATTGACGCCTTGGTAGATTCTGGTAACAAAGTGCCTGAAGACACAACGTTGGTTCAATACTTAAGGGTTAGGAGCCTTTTTATATCTGAATAATTTATGTGCTGGAAAAAGGTGGATTAAACAAACAAGGAAACATTCCTCTGTAAATGGTCAGGGATTGAAAGAAAACCTAAGAGTGACCTACTGAAAGCCCGAGAAAGCAGGTAATACGTTCAAAAGATTACAAAAATGTAACAGAGGGATGATTTCTACACAACAACGTTGCTTTCTTTCTCTGGATGAATTTACGTTATTTATTTTCTGTCAGGCTCTTAAATTTACATGGGACCCTCTTGAGTGGATTGTGTTTGGTTTGAGTCTGCGAGTGTGATTACATGCCTGAGCAGCAGAGAGTAGACCATTTATAGGCCTGCTGTCATTACGGCAGGACAGATTAACACCTTCTGCATGACAGTAAGGACTTTACAATAGCTTACCTTATTGGGGAGAAAGACCAAGTCAACTGCAAGAGACCTGCACGTGGTAAGACACTCAACCAAACATAGAAACAAGAAGACAAACAAAACCTGCCAGCTGGAAAATTAAGTAGGGTTAGGAAAAGAAAAAATGAAAAAGAAAAAAACACAAGCAGCCACAAACATCTGTGTATTTTATTTGCATTGACTAGACCAGCTGTACTGAAGCAGCTTCCAGCAGGACACAAACCCAAACATACAACCAGAGTTACACTTGAATGGTTCATACCAGTGTAGTTTCAGCGTCTGGATTGGCCCAGTCTAAGTCCCAATCTAAATTAATTCAAGAATCTTTAGTGAGGCCTGAACATTTATGTTCACAGACACTGTCCGTTTTGCAGCCTTGTGGACAGTAAAAGTACCAGAACGGATGTCAGCCCGTTAAGTTTATTAGTTTAAAATGAAACCCCACACATAAATGCTTGGGGAAAGAGAAACTCGGAATTTGCAAAACATGATTATTAATGTTTCTCAATTAGACTCAGGAAATGACAGAATTTTAACTGGGTCATTCCACACACTTTGATTCAGATCATTCCACTATATGGTTGGTTCTTTGTTGCTCTGCTGGAAGTTAAATCGCCATTGCGGGCTCAAGTCTTTTGAGTCATCCAAAAGGAGATTGGCCGGTGTTTAGAACGGCTCTGCCACCACATTTTGACTGCATTTGAGATGCTTTGGCATGACTTCAATTATGCCATTCATGTGGGAAAGCCCTCCAGTGTGGCCATAATAAAACAATTCTGCAGAGAAGAGTGGGCCCCATCACACTGAAGTAAAAGACGTATGGCAGTCCCTGCTGCCAGGAAAGGCACAACCTGTTAAGAGATGGGGGGATTAGATAGTCCTCCCATCCCATTTGCTTCATGACATGAACATTTAAGTCTGGCAAAAAGCAAAAAAGAGGATAGATATTACACAAAAGACAAATAAAAGTTCTTATTGGGATTTTGTTATTGATAAACGACCAATAACAAAATAGATTTTTTTTTATTTTCATGGGGCCTCATTCATCCATCCCTTTGAGAACTGTGGCTCTTAAGAATCAGCCCTCAGAACTTGTTGACTTAGCAGGAAGCTGTTTCAATTGGGGAAGTAGGTAATAAAAGCAAATCGCACATCTTATCACACTTTCTTCTTCCAAAGACTGGTGCACAAGAACGTAGCCCAGTTCACCTTCAGGTGCCTGCCGGCCTCACCGCACCTGTCGCAAGTTATCCTGAAATGCCCCCTGTCTGATCCAGCAGATCAGACCCCCCACACGTAGAGAAATCCAGGCCAATCCCATGTCGAGGAATTAAAACAAAGTGTTGCTGCGCCGTCTCCCGTCTGTCTGTGTTTATGATCCGAGCTTGCGCACTGAGCGCGTCCATTGTCTGGTCAGGAGCAGCAGCAGCAGCAGCAGCGGCAGCAGCGGCGGCGGCGAGGAGCGGAGAGGAGCGCCCGATCTGAGCGCAGGGGAGCGGCTTCACTGTGACCCCGATCTCCGGGGAGGGGGGCAGGAGGAGGAGGAGAAGACGTGTCCTCTGGTTGGAGCTCACCGGACCGGACCAGCGCTCGGTGACGACGTCATTTATTTCCAAGACAGACCGTCTTTTATTTTTTTCTGGCGGTCAGACAGACAGCAACAGTTGTCACGATGTCTGAGATCAGATGAGTGGAGAGCAGCGGAGTAAAGACTGCGGCGCTCCTGTGATCCGCACCGGCCGGGGTGATTCAGCCGTCTGAAGCAGCTGGGACAGCGCGGGGGAGCGGCGTGCATCTGTTTAACCTTGCAGGGATTTGGTTCGGCTCGGCAGCCACCCCCCCTCCCGCCCCCTCCGGTTGTGTCGAGGTTATCTATTTTAATTATAATATATTAATTTGTCTGAGGGTGAGGTGAATCCAGACGTCAGGGCTGGCTCATGTTCCGCTCGGCAGGGAAACGGGCTGTTGCGTCTGCAGAGAGTCAGAGCTGACGAGTCTGCTGAGACACACGGACAGACAGACAGGCAGGCAGGCCGAGAGACCGACAGGAACGAGGGGAGGGAAGGGGGGGCACAGCCTGTTTGGGCTTTCTCGACCCCTTTACGGATCGAGCCACCCAGAACCCCCACCCATTTCTCTCCCGCTTTGGATGGGGGGGAAGCAGAGCACGGCAGGGCGGCCCCGGGGTGCTTTTCCCGGCGTCTCTTCGGATGACAGCGCGGTGCCACCCTCGGCCCACTTTGGTCACTACCGGCCGAGCGGCACCATGGGCCTGCGGAGCCGCTCGGTGAGCTCCGTGGCCGGGATGGGCATCGAACACAGTCCCGCCGTGCCCTTCGGCTTCTACACCCCAAGAGGGACGGACTCGGACCGAGCAGGAGGAGGGTCTGGGGGCACTACGGCGGCCCCCCACGGAACTGGCTACCAGGACTCTGGGGGCGGCGGGCATCACACGGACGGGGTGCTCTATTTGGGGTCCCGGGGGTCGCTGGCTGACACCTTACCCCTGCACATTGCACCCCGCTGGTTCAGCGCGCACAGTGGTAAGATCTGCCGCACAAACACACCTCTATTCACGCAGACACACAAACCCAGCTGGATTGATTACAAGGGTGCCTCCAAAAAGTTTTTTAAAGGGGTGCCTCGATGGGGGGTCGCACATAATCTTTGGATGGCACGCAAACAATGATCGCTATAATAGAATTGTTAGAGTTGCCACAATGTTATATTTATAAATAGTAAAATAATTAAAAACTAGAAAGTAAGAATTGCAGTCTTCAGGTTTAGGGGATAGGAATCAGTATTTTTTAAATAAAAAGGAGGGGAAAAGTGACATAGGCAGTAATAGATTAAAAATAAATAAATAAAGACTTGTTTATATTTGGCCTATACTTGTAAAAAAAAAAAAAAATTATAAAAAATCTATATAAAAAAACATGTATATGAACTATCGGTCATGTGGCCATTCCTTCTACAACCTGTTACAAGCAGAAGTTATGTGCTGCATAATGTGTTAAAATGGATGGTTAGATAGGGGTCATTTAAGAATATTGGAGTTGCTCATCAAAAAGGAACGCAATTTTATTATATTATCACAAACTAAAAAATAACTCAGACATAAACAAATCTGCATTTAAAATGCAAATTACTTGATCACACCATGGACTCTCTTGACCCCCCTTGACCTCCAGCTCCCCTCGTTGGAGGCGCCAGATGCTTCTAAGCACCCAAACTTTACCTGCTGCGAAATAACACTAACGCGGTGCCATTAATATTCACTGCATTAAAGGAAAGTTGAGGCACTGAAACATCTGCTTCTTCTTGCATGTACTGGACACACACACAGTGGGATGAAGTATCTTTTTTTTTTTCCTTCTGCAGATTTTGGCTGAAAATGAGACCAGTGTAGCGCTCACACGAATGGGCTGTTTATAGGTCATATTGGATTCTAATCGTAAAGAGTGCACTCCATCTTGACCGTCACCGTTGCACCATATGCATAGGTCATTCCTTGTTGTGTGAAATGACACTAATAAGCCTGTTGCCAAATCTGGCTGAGTCAATTAGCTGTGCGATTAGAGTGGAAGGAGGGCGGAGAGGGATGGAGCAGGGCGAGGCTGGAGAACCGAGGGTTGAGAGCGTTGTTCCCGCTCGCTAATCTTCAGCTCACTTATCTCTCCAATATGTCTCTGTTTTTGAGTGAACACACCTGTGCAGACACGAACATAGGTCTGGACATGCACAGGGCAACCCTTAGCTGACCTTACTGGGAGATGGACCGCAGCTAAGCCTAAAATATAAAGTTCCTTGCAGAGGTATTTATACCCCTTGAACAGGTTTTCCAAATTGTTCTACTGCAACCACAACCTTCAGTGTATTTTTGTTGCTATCTTATGTGATTAATCAACAGAAAGTAGTGCGTAAGTGAAGTGGATGGAAAAATAATATGTTTTTTTTTATGCTAACAAAGATTTTAAAACTAAAAATTGCCTGTAATCTGATACCCGTAAATAAAAATCCAATGCAAGCAACTTTCTTTAAAAGTCACATAATTATTAAATAGAATAAACCTATTTTTGTCTCATTATGAGTCCAACTGTTCTGTGAAGGCCTCTGGGTTTTGTCTGACAGCATTAATGAACAAACAGCTTCATGAAAACCAAGGAGCAAGGCGGCCAACTTAGTGAGACGTATATAGAGAAGTTTGTAGCAGAGTAAGGTTATAAAACAATATTCCTGGCTTTGAATGTCTCACAGAGCTCTGTTCGATCCATCATATGATGCAACACATTGATCAGAGAGCAGAGGTCCATAGTAACCCTGAAGAAGCTCCAGAGAAGAGGCAAAAAGAAATTCATTGTTGAAAGAAAGCCATAAGAAGCTACATGCAGTAAACATGTGGATGAAGATAGTCTGTTAAGATGAGATGAGATTTTTATTTTTTCACCTAAACTCTGTATGCCTGTACATTACCCTACAAGCTCATCCCTGTTGGATACACATGATGGTAGAAAAAACAAAAACAAATATTTCTATTCAAATTTTTGGATCTTTGATGGCATCAAAATGACCGTATTTTACAAAACTGCAACAGAAACACTTTTTTTTTGCCTCACAGGAGCCATGTGATCAACAAACTGATGCAACTTCTGACGGAAAAAAACAGAGAAGATGACAGGAAGTGGCAGGATAAAGTGGCGCGGGATGTTTTTTTAGTGAAGTAACAAACCTATTCACGTGTGATTTTAACTTCGCTTCTTATTCAATGGAAGCAATGCCAATATGATATTTATTTTCCAACATAAGTGGAAAATTGACAAGGTTTTCACACATTTGTAGTGGAACTGCAAATGTGTATGGTTGCTTTTTTCCAGAGAGACAAGTTGGTCAGAACTGATGGGAAAATGGACAGAGCTAAATGCAGTTCAGTTCTGAAGGAGAAACCTATTTGAGGCTGCATAACACTTCAAACTGAAGCAGAGATTTACTTTACAGCCAAAACAACCAGCATCTAGCTTTGGCTGTAAGATTTAGATCAGAGCACATTCATGTGCTTGAAGGGTCCAGTCAAAGTCTGGGCATAAATCCAGTTGAGAATCTGTCGCAAAAACTGATGTTTACAGACACTCTTCATCTAATCTGACTGAGCCTGAGATATTTTGTAAAGAAAAATGAGTAAAAATGTGCATAGTTGATATAGAAATACTCCAAAATGACTGCAGTTGTATGTGAAACAAAAGGCAGATTCACAAAGTAGAATAAACCTGCAAACCACATTATTTAGATTTTTATTTTTAGACCTTTTTGAAGAGCACATGTGATTTTTCTTACACTTTACAATTATTTCCCACTATTTATTGATCCATCTTATACAAGGTCATTAAAATACATTGAAGTTTAGACTTTCATTGCCATCAATTGTGAAAAAGTTTAAAAGGGAATAAATCTTGAATCAAAACATTGTCTACAGTTTTTTTATGTAATAAGAATAAATGAGAAAAAAATGAAATAAAATCTCATTCAAATTAGCATCTGTCAACAAGAAGTCAAAGAAAACCAGAAACCAGTAGGAATCTGATTAGAGCAACTCTATCGGTATCTGGAACATAGCTGATCATTAAATAGATATATGTGGTAATAAACAGTTTAATTTGGGCCAACTAAACAACCAATACTGTCTATTAAAAACTAAATGAGCTCAATATGAACCAAAATAATGGTCAGAGATGTACAAGTTTCAGTCATATGATGCAGAGTCCGGCTTCCATTGGTTGTGCAAATTTTCCAAGAAATTTGCATGTAATCATGTTAGTTAGATCCACATGACTCTGGTTAAACACTTGACTTTTTTTTATCCCTGCAAATGTGGCCGCGCTGCAGCTGGCTCCACTGCAATCAAATATCCTGAAATGCCCAGAATAAAGTAACCAACCCACATTATGAACACCCTCTCCCTCCTCTCTCACATGCACGCAGCAGGTCGGGCTGGGTCCCCAGGCTCTCATTACCAAAGCCCTGACCGGCTCACAGCAGGATGATGGCAAGTCAGACGTCAACATCTCAGCTGTTTTTGCCCTTCTTACATTGCCTAGCAACTCTGATGTGCTTTCATATCTATGGAGCCAGATAACAACTCCAGCGCAGAAGGGGTGGGGGGGAGTCAGTGGAAAAGTGATGAAATTAAGAAAGGTGCGCATGTTCGATTGCAAAGCTGAACGAAGGGGCCTCTAGCAAATAAATAAACTGCAGTAAGCAGCAGCGTGTTAATAGCTAAGTCGCTTCTTTGATTTACAGTTGGACAGCAGCCGAGGGCATTTGTGGATGAGCCCGGTTCCTGCAGAGTTCACCGGGTTAAACCTAAGACGTCTTAAGATCTTTTAATCCCACATAAAATGCAAAATAATACCCTTTTCTCCATCACACAGCACAAAGGATGCGAGGATTACCGACAATCCTGACGGGCCGAGGAGCTCCAGGTTCTTTAGAGCCTTCAAAACAACAAGACAAAGATGCAAAACAGAAACACAGAGCAAAACAGGAGTAATCCAAAGGCACTAAAAACAGACACATGTAGCTACAAGGGGATCCAAAGGAAATGTAAAAAGAGATAGAAGGCTTACAAATCTAAAACCATGAAGCAAACAAGATAAATGTTCAGAAGTAAACATAATTTGGGGAATCGAGATGAGAAAAAAAAAAAATCACATTTAGGAAAGAAGAAATAGCCAGACCTTTGTAGAGTAGACCCAGAAAAACTATGGCCTTACACTATCTGCAATGATACCCAAAACAAGTACTAGCAACTAATAACAAGCTTATTGATGATAAACCACAGGAAGATCAGCCCTGTTACAGACACAATTAACAAGGAAGATTTACAATAGTTTCAGAGAGATGCATCACATTGTATTAATTGCAATACCTATTTTCGCTATGTTGTATATTATTTTACCTGGTTTTGTTTTTATTGTATTGTAACTCTGAGAGCTACTGGTGATTTTATATATTTGTTGCACTTTAGTCCACTATTGTTGTTTTAAATATAGAAAAGAAATTCATTTTGACCTGATTTGATTTGAAAAAAAAGTCCAAGTTGTCAAATAAGTGAAAAAAACTGCTAAGTAGTGTGACTGCTCCATTTACAAGTTCACAAAACGACCAGAACTAACTGCGGAGATCGGCCGATTTTTACATGTGAAGCCGATCTTATCCACCAATCTTATCTAGCTTGGCAAAGGCCTAAGAATCAGCTACTGTCCTCTTTTGCTCTCCGGTGAGAGAGGTTTGATTGACAGACCGGCCCACCAAGTTATGTCTGCAGGTTTACAATTAACAATAGTGACCCCACTGTTGCCAGCTCAATAACTTTCTTGCTATATTGAGCAATATTTCAGACCAAAGAAATTGGTGACGGCTAAAATCGGAATTGGCAGGTTAAGCTTTTTAAAAGATCGGGAATCGGCGATCAGCCAGAGAACTGCAATCCGTGCACCCCTAATTAGGTATGTACTTTCACTAGGCCATTTTAAATCAGTCACATGCTTCAATTTAAACTGTACTGACACTAACCGGCAATTAAGGAAACCGGTACCAATAAATCGGTGCACCCCTATATCTAATCCTATTGTGGACAGACTTAAAAAATGGTTGTCTGATTGAATAGGGACTAACAACAATCCCTATTCAACTGGACTGAGCTTGAGTTATTTTACAAAGAGGAATAGGCAAACATTTCAGAAACTTCATGTTCAAATCTGTTAATCACACCTCAAAAGTCTTGATGCCGAGGGAATGTTAGACACTCCGTTCATATCCAAAGACTGAAATTAGAGAGATGTAGCACCCTGTGGATTATACAAAGTAGTGTAAAGTTTGACATGTTTTGGAGATGCTGCATGACATGTAAAAGAGCAAAAGTCCATTAGGATGACAAAGTGATGTGCATTCAGACCAGTGGGAAAGGTGTGCAGGACACACATTGTTCATCATAAAAGTGAGAAAAGTTTTGTTTGAAGTTGCCAGATACAATCTAAACAATCTCCAAAATGTCACAACGTTAAATCTGTTCCAAGTGATTTGCTGCTTCTCTGACAAGTTTTACCACTTTTAATCCACCAAAACTTGAGCTGTGAATGCGAGCATGACCTTTTACTTTAGTTATATCTAGTCCAGACAGGTTTTTTGGGAAACCTGGCTACTATTTTTTGCTTCAGTCACTGGACCCTTGTTTATTTTGCTGAGACCACTGATGCTGCTCTGCAGCCTGCAGATGCAAAAAGCCAAAAAAAAAAAAACTAATGTGGCTTGTCTTGTAACACCAAGTATGTCAACATGTCTTCATGGGTTTAAACAAATAATGAAACTTGTATAAAAAAAAACAAATAAAAAAAAAACACATTTCGACACGTTTTCATCTCAAGAGACAGAGCCGAGGAGAAACACACAGACTTTGACCTTCACATGTATTCACTCAGTGGTTGTTGGCGATTATAGAGAGGTCCTGCGGTTGACATAGTTACGGTTATAGTCATTTGCTGACCCGAACAAAAAGCACAGTTCAGCCCACAACCTGTTTCTCTCACTTGCTGTCTGATTGGATGACTGCTTTATGAATTTACAATGATCCTTAGGCTAAAATTACAAGTGTTTCTGTGGTGCTGAATCTGATTGTGGCAGCAAGTACAAATCCCGCATAGTTAAGACGCATGTGTAACTGTAGCTGTCTTCTGCCATGAATACGCACGTGATCATTTAGACCTGAATTTTCTCTTGCTTTTTCCTCTTATCTTTATCCATGATTTGGTTGCATATTTACACATAAAATGTTTGATTTGGGGGCATCCCAGAGCCCCAGCAGCTTGTTGCTTCCAGGAGACCAGCTCGAGAAAATAAAAAAGATATGTTTCCATTTAAAGACTATGAGAATCATGTGCTTTTTCACATGCGGTATCGCTCTGTTTCAAATCCCCACCCACCTCCATAAATTAAAGACTTTTAAGCAATGTTCAAAAATTCAACCCCACTGTGGGAAATCACCAAGCAGTGTCTGACTTGAGGTGTGGATCCTCTCTGGAGAGAGGTTCTTGATTATTTGAATCAAAGTTTGTTAGCGGTGCACGAGCCAAACCTGTTTAAAAGTATGAGTATAGATTAATGTGCTCTGCTTTAACTTTCTTTCGTTTTTCCTTTTTTTTTAATTTTCTCACTCCAATAACATGTTTCTAATCAGAAACACTTTCTAATATTAGCCAAAAGATAACCAGAGATAAAGAACAAATCATGATTCGTTTTATGAAGAGAACATAAATGTTCTAACAAACCTTTCCCTGTGTGAAAATATAATTGTCCTCTGCACCTAAGTTCTCTGGAGCTAAATAATTAAAAGGTACATTTGTTATGGCATTATTTTTAGATTATTCAGTCCTAATTCATGTTTTTAAGATCTATGTTTCGCATTTTGCTGGCTCGGTCTTCCCTTAATAAATGAAATAGTTATTTGAAAAATACAGTTTCTATGCACTGTAGATAGTATTCACAAGCTGATCCACTTAAACAACTTTTTTAAAAAAAAGAAAAAGTCATCCTTTTGCTCAAACAGATTGTCAGTGGACGTTTCTAGTGCAAAACAAGTTTTTATTTTTATTTTTTTAACTTATTGTGTGACAGTGTCTTTTTTTGGACTGGTTCTTTACAACTCCTTGAAAACAGACAGGCCAGTTCTCGAGAAATAACATCAGAGTTCATTTTCTGCTGATTTATTTTGACCTTGCAAAGCCTTTTAAACTGACTGTAATTATGAGAAACTTTCACTTGTCATGTTTTAGTCCTCCAAGTTGTTCTTTCTGCTCTTTTTGTTGCAGTTTTTAAGTATCAAATTGTTTTAGGAGAAACAATTTGATACTTAAGGTGCTGAATTACCGACGTTTCACGAGTTAAAGGTGATCAAATAGATTCTTGACATTTTTAAGCAACATTAACTCAGCTGTAAGCTCTGTAGTACTCAATATCTTGAATGCTAATGGAACTTTTCCACATTTTGACAAGCTGCAATGAAGAACTTAAATGTATTTCATTGGGGGTTGAAGTTATACGGCATAATTGTCAAGTTAAAAAAAAAAACCTGCAAATCTCAGAATCTCTAACACTGATACTAGCTCAGCTCTGATGGGCAGATATGTTGACATGACAATTATTAGTTGTGCTGTGGACAAACCTGGTCTTTAAGGAAGAGTGCTATGATTTACTGAAATCCTGTTTACGGCTTGCCATGCAGAATGACAGCAAACGTGGAAGATGATGCTCTGAAAGAGATGAGACTGAAAAAGGACTTTATAATGTCTATGCAAACATCCAACTGGAGCCACACGAGAAAAATTTAATTCAAAACCTATCCATGTGTTGTAATGGCCCAGTCAAAGTCCAGATTGAGGTACAAATGAGAATGAGGCCCTAAACAAGACAAGAAAAAACAAACACTTCATCTCCACATCTTCGTGAAGTATCAGTTCACGTGAAATTCAGCATTGGAACAAATTCTCTCTCAGGCGCCATAAAAACCGACCGGCTCACACACAAAAATACTTGTTTCATTCTCCGATGTGATCTCGGGAGGTCACATCGGAGATTCATGCGTATTTTTTAAAAAGTAAAACAGCTCTCAATCAGACAGGCCACAGGTGTCTCCTCTCCGCTTGCTCTTAGACCGTTGTTGTGTTTGCGAGGACAAAAAGGGAGCATGGGCGCGAGTGAGAGCACCAAGTGATTTTCAGGAGAGGAAACAGATTCTCTTTTTAAGATTCCAGACAAAGAGCCAGAGGTGCTGCGGAGGTCTCCGTTTGTCTGCGTGTGTGTGTGTGTGTGTGTGTGTGTGTGTGTATGTCTGATGGACCTCTTTTCAGATGTTAAAAGACGCGGGCCGATGTTAATCACGACTCAAACCGCTGACAGCGCCGCAGCTGCATCAGTAATGCAGTTACCTGCCTCGTCTTGAGGCGTGCATCCTCTGCTAAACACGCACGCAGAAAGCAGGGGCAGCAGTAAAGACGCCTCCCATTTATCTTTGGACCAGTGCCGGTTAGAGGTCAAATGCGCCACAACGGGGCTGCATTAAATGGCTGCAGCTTGATGCTGGAACATAAGCAGATTTTAGTTTTTTTTTTTTTACAACACTCATTCATGTTGCTACAACGCGAATCTGAACATCTTCGTGCCTCTGCTGACACAGCATATGGCTGCTTGGACCGCACAGCGAGGAGCTGCAGTCTGCAGATGAGATCAGTAAAACAATCTTAATATAGCCGCTTTAACAAAATAGAGCCATCAAGTAATTTTCTATTACGCCTGAAAGCTATGGGGCTTGTTTTCTCTGTCATTCACCGGCAAAGAGTTTTTCTAGCAGTTGACCGAGATGAAAGATTCAAGCTTTAATCTTTAATTTAGTTGTTTTGGGATTCATGTGTGGCTGAGCTTTATGTCAGAAGCCAACATTAACATTTCTTCAAGTACAGTGCTGCGGGACAGATCATTGAGAAGCATACAATAATAAAGCAGAATAAAAAGATGTTCGGTTTTCAAAATGCTTAATAAGTTTGTATTCACCTTTATGAGTCAGTGCTGTGTTGAATAATTTTTTACTGGACTTATATTTGTTAGAAGTACGGAGTTTCTCTCCACCAGTTTTATTCACCAACAGGCTGAAGTTTTGATTCATTGTTCTTTGGACAGTAGCTCTGTCTGAATAAAGAGTGTCGGTGAACATCGCTTTGCAAATTTCGCCACACATTCTGAAACAAATTCTTGTCTGGATTTTTCCAAGGCCATTCTAAACTTTTCCTACCGTAGCTCTCTGCCCTGTAGTTTGCCCCCTTTTTGGACAGCAACTGGTGAATTCTTATCTTAACTAGGTGGAGAACTGTTTTTTTCTTTTTGTTTTTGTTTTTTTATAGATTTGCGCAAACCCCTAAAATCAAGCAAAGCAGCCATCTGTCTCTGGCTGTGGTGACCAGCCGTGTTTTCTAACATCTGA